CCACATGAACAGCTGACAGGTTTAGCGATCAGCAAGCCTGAATCCTGTCATTTTTGGGTCCGCTGGGACTTGCGGTTGAATTTATAGGGACCCCCCTGGCTGATGGTACCCCTATTCCCGTAAGCTTCCCATACTAAAACCGGAATGGAATCCTGGAACCTTCAAACCACCCATAGAACCCTTAGTGCTGTTGTGTAAGACTGGCTTCAGGACCAGGGGATAACTATGGATAACTTACTTCGACCACTGTCCCAATCTATCCCTGGATTTTCAATTAGCACATCTTCAATACAAAAAAAAACAATGTCAGACATTCATCAAATGGGGATCTCTCAAAACCGATGAAATCACCACATTTGGGGGAATCCCATTCACCGGCTCAATTTTAGGGGAATCCGGGTAGGGGGCGTCCTAAGGTAAAGGCTGGGGTGGCTGCAAAGGCCAGCGCCTCACGGGGGCGGTGCAGTTTTTTGTGGGGAAATATTGCGGAAGGTTGCGAAATCCTACAGTTGATAGGTCGTTGATCGCATTAATTTGTTGGGGTTTCAACATGTTTCAGCCATCCAAGGTGGTGCAAGAAGTTTTTCCATTCACAGTACGATGAGAATCTTGTGGAAATGTTGTAGTTCCACATTTTTGGGCAAAGCGAAACGTTTCGAACTATCCAAGATAAACACAATCGAACCCAATGTTGAGCTGTCTTAGAGATGGCTTTCAGGTTGGCTTGGAGCCTGTGCCATGGCGAACATGTACAAATGGGCAGCATCAGCAGTGTTCAGAACACCAATTCAATTTCTTATTTTTTTCCCTCAACAAATGCAATATACCTTCGTGATGGTTGAATCCCACGAGACCTTCAAAATGCCAAAAAAAACCTTGAATCCCCAGCTATGCCGACCTAGTTTCTACCACTGAGGTGGCTTGAAAGGTGGCATGATGATGATGAACAACATGAAGGGCAAGGTGCGTCAAGCTGGAAAATCCAGCAACAATCCTCCAACAACAAAAAACTTGGGAATGCGGGACCCAGAAAGTGTAAGTGCTTCATAACTGATGACTGGGGTAGTATCTCCCATTAATCTATCTGGATTACCAAACTCAACAGTTGCCTCGTCCTGCTTATGACGAACTGGTGCCATGCAGAGATTTAGCATATATATATATATAAATATTTAATTATATATATATATATATACATATTACAAGGTACTTGACTTGAGGCCAGATTAATTGAACCAAGCATGACCGCACGAGGTCACTCATTGCGGTGGAACGGAAAAAATACATATTACATCATATTACGATATACTACGTACGATCCATGGGAAGCAACTAATTATGATTTATTATAAAACAATAATCATAACATCTATAAAGATCCATTATACCCCATTAAGGTCCACTAAAATCTATTTAGGTCCACGTTACAAGCCATTCATATCCATTCTGAATCCATCCTGAATCCATTGAATTCCATATCCATCATGATTCCATGAAACACCATTACTGGTTGGTGGTTTGGAACATTTTTTATTTTTCCATATATTGGTAATAATCATCCCAAATGACGACCTCATATTTTTCAGAGGGGTAGGTATACCACCAACCAGATATTATATTATATTACCATTTTGAATAGGTAAACCATCTATAAATGGGCCATTTATACCATGGCTATATTAGTCATAACCAGATTAAGCTTATCCAAAATCCATCATAATGCCATGATTCGAATCCACTCAATTAGAACTCCCCAGACTCCATCAAAGTCCCAAGAAAAACTCTGACTCTGTCTGAAAATAGGCTACCACATTCCAATGGCGAATCATAAGCCTTTCCGAAATCATATCAAATTGGTTCTATATTCCATTAAATCCCATTATATCAAGATCTATTAAAATAAACTCAAATATCCCATGAAAATCTAAAAATCAACTCCCCAAAATCTCCCATAAAAAACCATGAGAAACGACCTTTCGTGAAATCCAGACCTGGATCGTCAGGGCAAAGGCAAATGGCAGCCCCGCTGGCCTTCGGGCCCCAACCTGGCGCGGGCGCGGGTCTCATCGGAGCCCGTCACAGGACCCCAGGGGCATCCAGGGGCTCCAGTGAAACTTCATGGGATCCAATGGATTTTCCATGGCTTTTACCATGGGATTTTTGCTGACATTTACCATGGGAATTCACCAACGAACCATGGGATTTCATGGATTCAAGTATAGGAAATCGTACAGTTGAGTGAGATTTAGGACCTATAGGAATTTAGTGGAATTGAATGGAATTTATTGGGATTTATTGGATTTAACCAACAAAACCTGGGATTGATATACTTAATGGATTTAAGCCTCCAATCTAATGAGGGATTTAATCATCGACTATGAGGATTTAGTGGATTTTTTTTGGGATTTATTGGAATTAAACCAAAAAAAATTGGATATACTGTGTTACCTCTAGTAATTGAACATTGCGAACGGGAAAATCACCATTTTGAAGTGCGTGAATTATTGATAAATGCGTCATTTTCCATAGCAAGCGGTAAAATTACCACCAAAATGGGGGACTTAAAAAACTGACAGTGGGGTTTCATCATCGTTGACCAGACATTTTGCTCGTTGTATCTGTTAAAACTGATTTTTGATACATTTTACCATCACAACATCGTGCTTTCACCACGAAAACTGGCGGATTTCACTGATTTTATCATGAACAACTGGAACATCAGGAGTAGCACCGACGAAGTTTGAGGGCGATTGAGGTTTTACCTACAAACATGTGAGTTCAACATGGTTTAACCAGCAGACATGGTGATTTAATCAACGCAAATTGTTCTAAGAAATGATGTTGTCTGAAAATTTTGAGCTCCAAATTTCAATACGTTTTAGCATAATTTCCCAGTTTGTAAGATCTCGAGTTTCGTGTTGCAGGGTTTAAGAACCCTCTTGTTCTTCAACATGGCAATGGACAATTCCCCATTTACTTTGACGTTTTTCGCATTACAGTTTATTTTGAGGTTTCCTCAAATGGGGGTACCCCTGAATCATGCCAAAGTAGACCATTTTAATATTAAAACAACCATGGTGACTGGGGGATCCATTAAGAAACAGTAGCATTTCCAATTGCCACGCTGCATTACAGTGATTACAGGGTGAGATTGGCCATCACAATGCAACCCAAGGAGAGGTTCATTAAATGTCCCCATGGGTCACATCACCCAACCAAAATCGGTTTTTGTGGTCAATGCCATGGCTACTATGGTTGGTGATGTCCAATATCTCCAATTTATGGGACAGTTACCAACCCCCCCAAGGAGAGGTTCTAGAATGGAAAGGTCTCTTGGCTCAAAAAAAAAGGAGCCTGGTGAGTTCTGTCGTGGATCGTGGTTGACCCAAGAATATTTTCAGTGTTTGATTATGTTTGATAAGGTTTTATAATGGTTATATAATGGTTATATAATGGGTGTATAATGGTTGTATAATGGTTGTATGATGATGGTTAATAGAATGGCTGGTTGGTGGTTTCAAACGTGTTTTATGTTCCATTTCATATATGGGATATATGGGATGTCATCCTTCCCATTGACTAATATATTTTTCAGGGGGGTAGGTATACCACCAACCAGATTTCATGTTAGTACTACATCTCTCTACCTGGCACTTCAAAAGTGCTTTGATCATGCCGTGGTCTGTGATTCTCGACCATCCCATGTTCGTGACCCGCAGCACGATGACACGAAAACCTGGGGTATCAGCAGATTGCCCCACTCCCTTGAGGCCTATCCCTTCATGTCATTCATGTGTGGTCAGAATATGTCATGTTCCACTTGGCTGTGCAGTTTTCTTTGAGTTTAATTAGTACATCATAGTCCTTGATTTCAGCCCCAGAAGGGGTGTTTTACACCCATTGAAGATCCTATAACTATGGACACCCCGCGGTGCTTTGAAACATGTGTTTTTCAGATTTGGCATGGCTGACTTTGGGGCTGTGTGTACACCCACTGTGTTCAAAACCCATGGGCCCACGTTGGTTGATGATGATAGATTCATTGTAGGGAATTACCCTCTGGTAAACTAACGTAACTATGGAAAATCACAATTTTAAATGGGTACATCCACTATCAATGGCCATTTTCAATGGCTTTTTGTATGTTTACCAGGCCGGGCACACCTGACCTGACCAACACAAAACGGGGAACCAGCCAATGGGACATGGATCAAACTTGGGAACATCATGGCAACACCGAGTCCCAGTGTTTGTTTTACGTCAACTTGGGACCCACAGGCAAACAGCCATGAAATGCGATGAAGGCATAGAAAAAGACATCAGGAAACTGGGAATGCTAAGCATTTGCCAGAACCTGTGCTAAACACCTCATCATCAAGCTCCTATAGGAGATGGTTTGGTTTTCGCCATTCATCCCTAGCAAGGGATGATTCTTGGATTCACATCGTCGATTTATTATCTTTAGTTGAAGAATCTCAGTATGCTTAATGACATTTATCAGTAATTCATGCCTAACATATCCTAAAATCTTTTGCACGATAACTCTAGTTGAATCATCTCTGATATTTTAGCAACCGACTTGTGAGTGCATATTGATTTGTACATGGTTTATTACCCACGATATATTTTAAATTATAAGTGATTGCAACCTACGTACATGATGTATATGCATGTATAGAGAGTTATATATACATAATTAGACATAGTAAACCCCCAAATGATGGAAGATGTTCAATTTCGAATTGGATTTTACCAACTTATATATTTTTGGGTTGCTGCACACACATAGTATATTATACAATAGCTGTTTATCTACTGTATACAATTGAATATGCAATGATATATCTGATTGTTGATGATATTTGGTGGAATATCATATCTAAGTGACAATTCTAGTTGCTTATCGCTTGATGTTCATCCTGATGGTAGGTTTTGACATTTGACAATTTTGACACATCTAACTGAGGTATGTATGACTCAGGATATTCCACGCGTCTAAGTGCCTGATTTCATAAACTTACCCTCTGGTAATACAATATTGCTATGAAAAACCACCATTTTTAAGTTCGGTAAATCATCATTTAAATCATCGAACTAAGTGCGCCGTGACTTCTTCGCAAACTTTTTTTGTTGGGACCCACAGGGGTTAATCCCTATTTTTGTTGGGTTAATCCCATTCAATTTCATTCAATTCCACTAAATCGCTATCGTTGATTAAATCCTGTGACTGATTGGAGGGTTGAATCCATTACATCCCATGTTCTGTTGGCTAAAACCACAATATAAATCCACAATTCATCAAATCCATGAAATTCCTAAAAAAAGTTCAACTGGTGTGGTGAAATCCCTCATTCAAAAGTTAATCGTCAAAGCACTAAACCAGCATTTCTTCCATATGAAATCCCCATTTTTGGATGACGAATCAATGCCTTTTTGGATGACGTCGCTAGGGAAGTATGGCTGGATCAAGCCAACTGTCCCGGTGGAGCATCCCATGGCAGACCGGCACAAGGTGCGCTTAAACAAAGCCAAACGTGGTGCTGGAAAAAAGACCGGACATGTTTGATGGGGAGAATCATGAGGACATACCGGGGACATGTATTTATTTATATAATATATAAATCTATTTTATATATATATGTATATGTATATATTTATATTTTATTATATAAAATCCGAATCCATCATAACCCATCGATTTTTGTCATACATATTTGAGTGGTCAAGCTCCCACAGCGATAACATCAGCTGGCCAGGGCCACATCTACGTCCCTCGGCCAAGGAATGGCCCTTTTGCTCCTTGGAAGGGCCTCCCAAATGATGTTGGTTGGTTTATGTTAGTTTGTAAAGCCTGGACATATGGAATAATATGGATATATCCAGTGTACATGCAGATTATAGTGATTATAGATCAATCCCCCTATCGTTACACAGGCCTCTGCCTGTGTGTCCTGAGTTTGGTTGAAGTATATCTCCAGCGCTGTCAGCCTAAGATTTTACAGAAATGGGGAACCGGCCTCCGTTCTTATCCCGTGAAAATTGATGATCAGAGAAACCATTGGATTTTAGAGGAGCACGCCTTTTTGGGACAAACCTAATCGGATTTGATTATTAGCCGTACATTTTTTTTTACCCAAACGAGTATCCCAATTCCATTTAAGGTTCTCTTTAATTATCATGTGTTACCCATTATCCAATTATCATCCATTATCCCGTTATCATCTATTATCCGAGTATGGTTATTATCTGAAATGCTTCCATTATTTACTATCCCATCTATTATCCAGTAATTATCAATGGGAGCCTTCTATTGTTGATATTTTCCTGTTGATCATTAAGCCGCTATGTAGGATAGTGTCTATCATTGATTACCGGATGTAAATTATCCTAGATATAAACATATCCGGTAAATGATAGACACTATCATGATATATAATATAGATAATTAACCTATATAGATTATATATATTGTATTATCCTATCATACATATAGTATAGATTACTAACCATGATCCTACTGCTAACTATAGGATCATCCAGACAAATTTACGGTTGATCATTACCATCCAGTGAGAATGGACGATGGGACAGCTAGATATCTGGTCCATTTATTAGTGCTACTATTACCATCTATGATGTCTATTATCCCATCATGGTCCATCTATATCCATCTATCCAAAAATCCATCTATCCATCCAAAATCAATGGGAATGTCAACTATTTTGAGGTGAACATCAATGATCTACCATCATCTATAATCGACAGAATATGCGCACTTTTCAATAATCATCTCATTGTAGTGAAGATGTTTGAATTTCCATTTTCTACCTACGCCAGGGTGACTATAGTGTTCTAACCTGGGATGATCGAACTTTATTACCCCAACTGTTATCCATTATCCTAAAATAATCCTAAAATATACCAGTTGTTTTTGAGAACCATATTCCCATCTACTGTACTAATAGCACTATCTTTGATCATCTACTATCCTTGCTCTGCTGTATCAAATTTTAACATAGCTCATGTTCCATAGTAATGTTAAACTACCAGATGTGCCATGGTCAAAACACGGTATATGGGGCATGGTCATCTATTCCATATTGCGAATCCGTATAATGCGAATCCATACTGGTCCCTATAAAAACGGATTGATGACCATCCCCGAATCCCCATAGAATGGGAATATCAACCATGTTTTTTTTTCCCCACGGCACAGATGGTTATCATCTCCAGTTTTGTTGCTGAAAAACTCCATTGATTTCAATTGCACTGCCCCAAAAGTTGGATGGTTAAATCCTTCGATTGGCATGAAATCCACTGTTTTTGGTGAAATCCCATTAGAATCCCATGAAATCCCACTAAATCCCCATGTGTTGAGGGTTAAATCCTCCAATTTTCAGGATTTGAGGACTGGATCAACGAGCTGAGGTGAGCATCAACGACCTCCAAGGTGGTTTGGAGGCGATGTGCTTGGGCGATGTGGGCGCTGGCTGCTCTGCTGCTCTGAGCAGCAGAGAAATGGGTGGTTTTTAAGCAGGTGGGGTCAACCGACTGGTTAGATACGCACTACCCTCTGGTAAACGTTTACATAACTATGGAAAGATCCACCATTTTTAATGGGACAACTCACTATCAATGGTCATTTTCAATAGCTATTTTGACATAACCAGAGGGTAACTAGTACTTCAGTTTTTATCCGTCGTGAATGGTACTTTCACCAGCCAAGAATTAGATGTTCTTCTGCCAGGTTTCCAAGATTCACCATGGGGCGGGATCGAATCAACAGTTAATCTACGGGTTGGGCATTCAACACCAAACATGGGATGAGTGACATGCAAACATGGTCAATTTAGATTACTGTAAACTTTTCGAATATAAGAAACGTGGGAATTTAAGTTGCAAAACTGATGATTCAAACTTCAACCAGCCAAGACAAAGGATTGAAATTGCAAAAAGGAACACATATCTGGGTAAATTTGATCACGACCTCACTGTTCTCCCGAACCCTGGAATCATGGTTCATTTTAGGGAAATCATCCCCTTTTATGGCCCAACAATTCAGGTTAGTGAACTATTGTAATTTACCCAGAAATATCGTCGTAATCAAAACGGTGGATGTTTGCCGTTTTGTTCATGTTGTGATTTTCCATACGGGGCTTGAAAAAACCAGCGGTCGGAGAGGACAAACATCTAAGGGTTTGAAACATATATTTTTTACCATGTAAAACTTGTTGTTTTTCACAACATGTAGCCTCTGGGAAACTAACATAGCTATGGAAAATCACCACTTTCAGTGGGTAAATCATGGTAAATCCACTATAAATGGCCATTTTCAATAGCTATTTTGACATAACCAGAGGGTAAAACATGGTCGATCTCCGAAAATATCGGAAACTGTAGATGCAGGACGCAGATCATGATCTAACCAGTTTCGACAGGCCTTGACGGTGGGCAGTCTCTGCCAATTTCACCTCTTTGAGGCATCCTGGGGTATCAGGGCCGGGCCGTCACGGCCGGGCCGGTTGTGGGGACATGTCGGGGTTGTTCAAAAATGGAAAAATCGAGGAATTTTATGAGAGGAGGGAAACAATTGGGGGTGAGAATATATGATAATATATGTTTTTTGCCAGAGTCTGGTTACAAGAATCAGTTTTTCAGTAGTTACAGTGCCATGATTGTATGCATATATGATCATATTATACATATACTAGACAGATAGATAGATAGATAGATAGGTAGGTAGGTAGATAGATAGATAGATAGATAGATAAATACAAAACTGTGACTTGCAGCTTAGAACCTGAGTAGGACACAGGCGACATCGAAGTATAAGCAGCTAGACTTGTCACTAGGATATGATATGTCACCAGCTATTATCAACCATAATCACTTCCAATCAGCTACAAACAGCAACTTCAGTTGTATAATTATATTATAGATAAAAACACAACTACATTATATATAATAATAGTAATAGTAATACTGAATAACAATGATAATAATAGCACCCCACGAAAATATAGTTGGTAAAATGGAATTCTAACACGGTGATTTGTGTTCTTCTCTGCACTTAAAACTGTTTGTTCTTTGGGTTACTATATCATAGCTACAATGAACTGTAATCGCAATCCCCAGAAAAGATGCCGCAAAGTAGCATCTAATTCTAAAAATAGTGATAATTTGAAATTGTTCCAAGTTCCATCTATTCTTTTTGCGGGCTTAAATACTTATCAGCTATGGTCAACCAAGACTTACCCTCCTATAAACGTTTACGTTGATGTTGAACACCTGGCATGTGTACCCTCTGGTAAACTAACATAGCTATGGAAGCCATGGCCCATTCAGTTCGTTGATTTAGATTTACCGAACTTAAGATGGTGATTTTCCGGTTCGCAAACTGTTAGTTTACCAGAGGGTATCACCCTGTTTTTGTTACTTAGATTCCATTACATGCCATTAAATCACAGAAAATTCCACGAAAACCCATTAAATCACATTAAAAATCCATTCACATCTACGAAAATCCCATTCACATCCACTCAATTCCATGGAAAATCCTATTAAATCTATATAAATCACATGAAAATTCCATGGAAAATCACATGTTCCGCACAGAAATCGGGATATGCCCAGGATGCCAGCGGCCTTGGAGCTGAAGAAGTGATCGGTTCATGACGGAGTCGGATGGGGGATTTGAAGTGCCTATCCCTACGGAACATCGAAGAAACGATGGAAAACTACGGGGAAAACTATAGAAAACTATGCACAACTCATGAAACTATGGAAAAAACATGAAAAAAACATGGAAAACTAGTGAAATTATGGAAAAAAAACATGGAAAACTAGTGAAACTATGGAAAACTACGGGAAAAACTATGGAAAACTAGTGAAATTATGGAAAAAAGGGACAACTGTATGGACAAAACAATTACTGTATGGATTTAATGGGATTTATGGCAGAATTATGACAACTAAGTTGACTTATAACTACGTATAGGTTAACTATGGTTTGGTTTATGATAGATGTATCAAACTGGTTAATATTAGTTGATGGGGTTTATACACCAAATCAAAAACTGAAACATATGTTTCAGAAACTATGGAAAACTCGGTTTGTCTTAAGTAGCGTTTATGATAGAGTTATGGAACTAATATTCATGGCTTTTGTAAAGCAACAAACATCACTGGGGGGCCACCACCATTTTTTGATATTTTTTGCTATGGAAATCCATGGCTTTCTGTTGGTTTCATGATCTAAAAATGGTGGATGTCAATGGATGACGTCCACATCTTGGGGACTGAAACGAGAAAAAATGGTCTTTTTATCCATGACAACGAGTGAAACATGGTGGTTTTGGTATGAGAATGGGGGATTGAACGGTATTGAATCGTATTGAACCATTATATTTTATCACACATGATAAGACATCGGACGTTTTCGTTTTTTTTTTTTTTTCCGAAGAAGTTGGACCATTCACATCAAAGGACCTGTAAGTGGCAAGGCCAAGCTAGTATGATTTAACTGGAACTAGTTGTTATTTTTTCCAACCTAAAGTTGATTGCGTCATGTTGGGTCACCATATGTTGACAGGGTTTAATTATGTCTGCGGCTGTGCGTCAGCCCGAAGTGACACAGACTTTCATTGATGAAATTTGGAGGAGAAAACCGTGCTGTCCTGGAAGGCTTTGAGTGTAATTTACCCTCTGGTAAACTAACATAGCTATGGAAAATTTTGAATATATAAGTACATCAACTTTATATAAACGGATATCAACGACCATTTTTAATAGCTATGTAACAATCACCAAGGGGTATATCCCAAAAAGTGTGTTTTTTTGATTCTGACACTATTTTTCTAAACCATGGCGTGAAACAGGTTACACCAAATGTTCTTAGACAAACCCAGTCAGCTTACGAAAAAAATGACCCCTCTTAAGAGGGGTTTAGTAGGCGGGCCTGTATTTTTATTCCCCCTCTAGTAAATTAACATAGACCCTGCCAGTTGTCGGGGTTGGAAGATGAGTTTCCACTTATTTTCAGGGTCCAACTGTTAATTTACCAGAGGGTATTAATGAACAGTGTTCAAAAAAAACACTGTTGGGGGATTAAAACGTTATATGGGGATAGGTCAAAACCCTGGTACCTAGTGAACATCAAAATAGCTGGTAAATGGATGTTCATCCCACTAAAAACGTATCTATAGGTATTGACCCATACCCATATCTTACTTATTTGGATTATGTGATGGATTATCACCCACTATGGGAATCCGGAAAAAAAAGCAATCCCGAAGGCCCAGAAAGTATGAACGTTTACCAACATTTACACCATAAAACACCCCGTTTTGTTAAACATCTCCATGGAGCATATGGGAATCCGTATTTCAGGCTTTGGCAGGCGCTGGGATTCCTAAAACGTTGCGAAGGTCACCCGCATAGGTAACGCAGGTTTAAGTTGTTGTACAGGTGTCAAGTTAGACAAGGTTGACCAGGGTTGGAGAGACAATCTTGAGTTCTTGGATAGAAGTCATGTTACCAATACTATACTTGGTTATATGATAATATAACAGGATATAACAGGTGTATGATGGCCGGGGATGCTTAATTTTTAGGATACCATCCAGTAAACGTTTACACTTCGCGAGAAGCCATGGCCCATAAAAGTAGATTCGATTTCTCGCACTGGAAGCCATGGTGATTTTCCATGTCAAAGTCAAATTACCAGATGATAGACTTGGAATTTCCATGATTTTACTAGCACTTGGCAGTTGAGAAGCTGAGAATGTTCACTTTGCACCAGTTTGCTTTTACCCAGACACATGTTTCCCACCTGTGGGTTTAAGTGTAGCCATTTCTGGTAGAATTGTGTAAATGAGGTGTGGTCAAGTTTCCGTATAGAGTGTGCCGAGTTCAATTTTATGATGTTTTCTTTTTCAAAGGTTGTTAATTGTATGTTAATGTCAGAGCAATAATCAACCACCCCCATATTTTTGATGGTTTAGACCACCCATGTATGGTAAACATGGGGATGGTTTACTATTCTGGGATGCTTCCAATTCGTTTAAGATACCTGCGATTCTGATGACCAAGACACTGGGTCAGGACATCAGCTGACCACAATCAGAATGACCAACTCTGAAATCATTGTTGGCGACTTCAGCTTGCCAGTCCATTGTGGTTAATCGTTAAGATGCCGGGTATTTGAGCACCAAACATGCCAGACATGATTGTTGGTAGTTTGGATGTTAGTTATTCAGACAAAGCAGACGAAGTGCTTTGGTGTGTGGAATGGGAACTGATCCAAGATGTGAACACCTACCAACCAGTCGGCTTCGACATGACAGTTTGGGCGAACTGGGCAGTGCTCAACCGACAATATTTCTGTATCGTAGATGGCTGATTTTTTAAGTTACATCAATCAATGGTAGATGGCTTCACCATATCAAGATATTTTAGATATCTCAAGTAAATCCAAATTTGAGTTGATTAAACCACCGTAATAAACTCAAGATATATCTTAAGTAAATCCCAATTTTAGTTGATTAAACCACCTATACCATACTATACCCTAAATCTAAATTTGAGCTGATGAAATTTTCGAAATTTTGGGTCTCCCGTAGGACTTGGCCGAAACAAAACGTGCTTCGGTTCTACTTTCGGCTCCATTTTTCAGGGTTGGGGTTCGCCGCACGACAACGTCCGGTGCCGCGAGGCCAGTGAATGTGAACGGATGGAATGGGATTAAATCCAATGGGTTTTACCCTATCCCTCTGGTAAATCACATATGGATAGTTCTGGGTAAATTATAATGACCTCACTGTTCTCCCTCACTGGAATCATAGAAATCATCCCCAAATGGGCCTTAATTCAGGTTATTATGGGATTATTACTATGGATTATTATGTATTACCCTCTGGATTAAACGTTTACAGTTTGCGAACCGGAAAATCCACCATTTTATAGCGTAAATCAACTATGTCGACTGGGCCATGGCTTCAATAGCAAACTGTTTGTTGACCAGGCCGGGTACTTACTTGATTTTGTGGCTGATCCGTTGATCGGATGATCTTTTATGGGATGTGACTGACTGGTGAGTTGGGATACCTGGATTTCTTTGACAACCCCGAAAGCCGAAGCTTTCAAAAGCAGACTAGAGTTTGCCAGAAGTGGATTGTAGATAAATATGGATAAATATGGTTGTTTTTGATTCTAGCCATCTTCAGAAACTATGTTTAACAAACGGATTCAGCATCACAAACCGTTCCCAAGAAACCCGCGGAACTTCGCTTGAATTGGGAGATCACCAGATGTGAGATCTGCTTTGGGGATAGAACTCGCAGAAAGTATGGCGAGGCGGTTTGGTACTACTATTATACAAGGTGGCGTCCCGTAGTTAGCTAAGTTTAAGTAGAAGTAGGCGTAGGTTTACTTATGTTTACTTGGTTTTCTGAGATAAACCTGTAACCTGTTTGCAGAGCACCATTGTAATTGTAGAGCCATTTGCAAATTACCAAGTAGATCCAAGTAGCAATTTGCCCTAAAAATTACTACCAAGTACATACAATTACCAATTAAATGTAAAACCAATTGCCTAGATTTGCTGAATATGTTGTCTCTTCCTGTTGCTTAATCCGCCATGATTGGGGAATCTACTGTTCTCTACTGGATTTTTGTGCCAGGGGAGACCCCTGGGTCGCAAATCCATGATTCTTGTATGTTAAATCCAACTTGTTGTTGGTTATCCACCATTTTTTGGCGGTTACCCGCCTACCATTTTCTCGGATTACCAATGGCACCTGTTAAGTCACCTCCCTCGGCCGTTGACAGACGCCAGGGTGCCATGAAAGGCGTGCAACAGACGCAATGGAAACCCAGTGCCCCGACGCAGTGGTACCCCAAAATTGATGGTTTGTTTCATGGAAAATCCCACAATGGATGACAACTGGGGGTATTCCCCATTTTAGGAAACCTCCATTAATCAGCGGAAATATGGATTTATCCAGCAGAAATAGAGATTCGAATGGCTATGCTCCGTAGGTAGATTTACCAACATTCCTCTTCTTGGAAAAGCGGTAGTAATTTGGTGATCAAGCCTGTGAGCGGAGACCGCATGCTGACTTCAGTTTAGTTGGAAATTTGGTATCCCCAACTCATTTGGTCTATCAGACTATTCCCTATTGAGATTATATATATTCATATATACTCATATATACTCCATATCAAAGTTTGTGGTATACATACTCCATTTTGAAAACATTTTTGTTTGAGGTATACCCATTTTTTTTTTCTACATCCTATTAATAATTAAGATCATCCTATAATATATATAGCTACCGGAATGGTTTCTCGGACGCCATGGATCAAGCCATCCTGATGGATTTGGATGGAACGGAAGGGTACCATTTGGACCCTGGCACCATGCTTCCATGGTATGAGAGACAAATATGACCAGGAAACATGCTTCGTGTTTTGGGGAAAATGTGGGAAAATCATCGATCAATATCATTTAATATCTATATATATATAGATGGTTTTATTGGCATGAGATTTCCGCAAATGCCAAGTCACTAAGTCTGTTTTCTGGAATTCAGAGGGAGTACAATGTAGCGCTGTCGGCATCTTACCGCACGCCTTTAAACATCCGGACTGGAGTAGCAACACTGCTGGAAAGATAAGTTTCATCTAGACAATATCTATATAGATTCAGCTAGATTGTGTGCAACCTTAGAACATGAAACACAGATATAAAGACCGTGATCTAGCTGAAAGCAGTCCCAGCAGTTGCAGCTGAACAACAGGTTCAGAAACTTGATGCAAGTATTCTTAAAGGCTGTGATTCCAAGTTATGACATGAGTTTTCAGATGAAAGCATTTTTGAGAAAACAACATGGTATGGCTCAAAATCTGAACCCCATTTTTCATGGGGTCAGGAACTTAGGAACTTTTGACCATCCTTCATTTTTTGCAGGGTTTAACCTGTTTTTCCGTGGATTCGTTGGGACATGTTTGTATCTCCCAAAAAAAAAATGGAGCTCCAGTCCAGCGCGATCTCAGGCTATAAGGGCTTCAGTGCGGGTGGCAACTGGGGCCAGACGGGCGCTAAGGGTGCTGATCCTGCTCCTTGCCAAGCAAAAGTGGGTGCTTCGCCATGAAAAAATGGATGTTTAAGCATCGAAAACAAGGGTTTGACTCGGTTTGACATGGTTTAACCATCATTAACCATGAAAAGATCAAAAGAGGGTTTTTTAATCATAGAAAATAAGGGTCTGACCAGCACACAAATTTGGCTGGCCGTCAAACCTAGGGTGTGTGACCTTTAAAAATGGGAGATTTGGGCATTTAAGCGGGGAAAATGAGATGTAAGGTGAAGGTATGTGTAGATGTGAAAACCGGAGTACCAGGGTGAAGTGAGTCATAGCCAAATCATGGATTTACCTTTTGGTGTTCGGGAGCAGTGCAGATAGAGTGACGTGTACAATGTTTGGATTTTTCACTTTTTTTTTTCTGTCGGCGACTTTTTATAGTAACCCAACCTGACAATGGACCACGTTCCCAGGCTGGTGGCAACGGCAAGGGCAAGGGCGGTGGCTGGGGGTGGAATAGCTGGGATTCCAAAGGCGGCGACAAAGGTTGGGACAAAGGTTGGGGCAAGGGCGGCTGGGGTTGGGGAGGCGGGGCACCGCGGTGTTCCGAAATCTGGAGTGATCTGGAGTGATCTGGGGTGATGGCAGATGATGGCAGGATTTTATTTCTTTTAGTGATGATTTTCAGGAAATCTAGAGTTCTTCGATGTTTTGGAGTGAATTCACTTAGGAAGTTGGAGTCGTCTGATTTCTATGTGTCTCAGTTCTTTTGCAACACCAGATCTGTGTAGTTAAGACTTGCAAAGACATATTGTTGGCATGTTTGCTTCAAGCCACGAAGCGGTGCATCAGTTATGCTGTTAATTTCTTTGATTTCCCCTGTCAAACCTGGAGATCATGTGAAATTAGCCAGATTTGGGAATCTAACGTTTTTTTGTTGGGCCTTTTTAATGAAGTTCTTGGATTTTATCTTGGTTTCCGATAATCACTGGCATTTTTCTGAAAATAAGGTGTCCCACTGTCCCGAAAACATGGTTGAGAAGTCATGTCCACTCATTGCGAAGGTCATGAATCAGTGGTAAATCTCCATGTTTGGACAACCAAAATATCTTTTCTTCATGTGCGTAATCCCAACCCGGACGTTGCTCCACACTTACAACCGTCATGATCATTATCACAATCATCATCATCATCATCATCATCACCATCACCATCACCATCACATTTTCACATCATCACATCATGATCATCATGATCATCATGATCATCATGATCATCATGATCATCATGATCTAAAATTCGCCACCCTCTCTGAACAAAATGTTGACTGGGGTAATAACATCAACTTTATCTTCATGAAGGGTCAAATTTCGCCACCCCCTCTGAAGAATATGTTGGTTGGGGCACTAACATCATCTATTTCTCCATGAGGGATCAAAATTCGCCACCTCCTGTGGCCCTATGAACAACATGTTGAGGGATCAACATTCGCCACCCTTATGAACAATATGTTGATTGGGGTAAACATCAACTTTATCTTCATAAGGGATCAAAATTCGCCACCCCCTATGAACAATATGTTGATTGGGGTAGTAACATCAACTTTATCTTCATAGCCACCTGAAGTCAGACACGGCCCAACGTCAGGGTTGCAGCGAACATGTTTAATCCATTTCATGGAATCTTCCCCATGATACTGTATGCCAGAACTTTCCATAATTTGGATATCAACACTACTATCCCATACACCGGTGCAGGGTTGCGTATTTTTGAAATGCCATGTCGGCGGACTTTCAATATGTAGATCTATATGTGATCCATGATAATCACAATCATCATAATGATGATAATAATGATAATAATAGTAGTAACAGTAATAACCATCATCATCATCCCTTATGAAGATAAGTTGATGTTATTCCTTATTCAACATATTTGTGAGAGGGGGTGGTGGATTTGCTGATCCCTTTTGAAGATAAGTTGATGTGATTACCTCATTTCGGGTGGGTGGTGGATTGTTGGCCCCTTATGAAGATAAGTTGATGTCATTCCTTATTCAACATATTTGTCAGAGGGGCTGGCGGATGTTGATCTCTTATGAAGATGAGTTGATGTGATTACCCCATTCAACGCATTTGTCAGAGGGGGTGATGGATTTTTGATCCCTTATGAAGATAATTTGATGTGATTACACCATTCAACATATTTGCCAGAAGGGGTGGTGGAATTTTTGATTCCTTATGAAGATAAGTTGATGTGATTACATCACACCGTTCAACATATTTGTCAAAGGGGGTGGCGGATACATGATCCTTTATGAATATAAGACATATAAGTTGATGGTATTACCCCATTCCACATGAGCTCTCATGAGCTGACACTGGTGATGATAATGATGATGATGATGATGATGCTGATGATGATGATGATGAAGAGGAGGAGGAGGAGGAGATCTTGAACATGATGATGATGATGATGATGACGATGACGATGACGATGACGACGATGATGATGACGATGATGATGGTGGTGATGATGATGATTGTAAGTGCGGAGCAACGTCCGGGTTGGACGGAACATGTTTAGTCCATTTCATGGAATCTTCCCCGTTATATGCCAGAACTTTCCAGGAATTGGATATCAACACTTATATCACATTCTATCCCAGTTGTTGGTCATAAATTGTGGGCTACAATTAATGTGTCACGTTATATACCTTCCAGTAAAGTGACATAGCTACTAGTATGGCAAATCACCATGTTTAGATTTACTGGAAGGTAATTATAATCCCCATTGTTGTTGCTTAATTTCCATTATAATTTTAAAACTCCCATGAATTTCCACGAAGTTCCGAGTTAGTTGCTATAGTTCAATCCACACACAAAATCCCAGTATTTTTTGTTGGTGAAATCCCATCAACATCCACATAAATTCCATGAAATCATACAATGTGAGGCCCCCCAGTGATGTTAGTTGGTTTATAAGCCCCAGTAACTATAGTTATAAGTACCATAAACCGCCATAAACCATAGTTATTGGAGTTATGTTAACCAACTTAGCTATCTTGGGGGCCTCACATTGTATGAAATCCCCATTTTTGGATGACATCCATTTCACCAGCTCTGTGGCGGTCGCAGGCAAGGGCCGAAGTCGACCGCCCAGTGGACCCACCTTGTCACGTGCGCGCGTGACCAGCGAGCCAGTCACTGGCGAAGTCACGGAGTGGAAAGGCGTTCAGAGAGCGCGGTTCGATGAATGTCGATGACAGATCATAAATATAATATAATATTATTATAATATAGATCACAAAAATAATCAAAAATATCTTTTAGATAATATATACAATATAGTATAGAGAATAGATAATATCGATAATAGAGAGAATATAGATCACGTAGATAATATAGATAATGTAGATGATGTATATACATGATATAGATGTAGGATGATAATAATCCTATGGTAGTTAGTAGCTCAACTACCATCATACGATATATATATATAGTATTATAAATATCATAATATATACTGTAGATATATACCGAGTAGATGTTCGAAGTTGGTGGAAATAAGTAGATGGTGATATGCTCCATGGTGGTGGCAGGTTTTACCTACAAAACTGGGTGTTTTATGGTGCAGTGTAAATGTTGATGAATATTCAATACATGGAGCATATATGTATCATCATTGTTATTGTTAGAACATATTGATATATCTTGATCATATCTACATAGTTTTTTCGAATTCTCTTTCTAGCAAGGTTTTTGTGTCAAAAGCTGTGAATGAACATCCAATGACATTTTGCTGTGAAAACAAGGTACCAGGGTTTTTTTACCAAAGAATCTGAGCTAAATGTTAACCCAAACAGATGGGTCAGAACAATCTGAGCTAAACATTTTTTTGGTACCCAGGGTTTTTTTAACAATTTGATGATTTTTGTTGAACCCAAACAGACCAAACACTTATGATTGACCCAGTCAAAGCTGGTCCCGTGGGTCAGAAGTCATGGTACCAAACTTGGCCAACGTGGCAACATGTGGCAACCTGACATCCCAACGTTTACCATCTGGTTATGACTAACATAGCGAACTGGAAAATCCCAACCATAAATGGAGCTTTAGTTCGCTGGGAAAATCCTCTGTAAATGGGCCATGGCTTCCAGTTCGCCATGTCAGTCATAACCAGGTTGGGTAAATGGGAAAGTCATCGAAGTAAATGGTGGATTTTCATGGATTTTCAAGTGCCACGTTTGAATAAACGGGCGGGGGGTTTTGCTGTATAGAAATGATAAAAACTGTCGTGGTTTGAACCTGGGTCTTCAGAGAGTCTTCAGACTTGACCAAGCCACATTTAAGGGGATTGAAAAAAAGAACAACTGCAAAGGTATGGCCATTCCAGGATCCGATTGATTGGAGGTACCTACCATATATTTTAGGCCTATTTTTCAGGCATAAATTTCAGGGAATATCCCCAGAAAATATGGCCTGGAATATGGTACAGTACCTCGATTGAATCGGATCCTGAAGATCTCCCATTGAGCAAAGGTATGGATGGTTTCACAATGAAGATGATCCCTCATAAAAGGGTTTCCAGTGAGACCCAAAAAATTGACCCATAAAGATATGGGAAGCTGACCCTCTGAGGGTTTTTTCAGACAAGATCTTCGGACTACTAGTCCTTATGCACCAACCCGTGGAACCAGCCCAGTCGCCACCAGTGTAGATCAGTGGACCCAATCACTTCATGTCTGGTTGTTTGAAAGTCTTGTAAATCCACTGTGTAATCATAATTTTCCTTATTAAGTCGGCAATTTTGGGGTACAGTATATCTAATATTCACACTCAAGGATTCTTTGGATTTCATTGGTTTAAAAGCTGGTTACATATCCACCGTTTCTTGATGCTTAAGGCAAGATGGTTCACAATTTTTCGTGGTGGATTTTTATATAACCACTTACAATCTCCTGGGTTTGCTTTCTAGAGTGTTGGATTACAAGAGGTTAGCCCATCATGAACCCAACTGAGTTCCCCAGCTGTACATATTTGTATAGAGTATATACATACATATTCATTTATATATGATGCAATGTACAACTTCTTATACATACATATATATATATATACACAGTCATCCTGGAGTAGACAGACTATGGACATTAGCAACAACAACAACAGCAACAACAACAACAGCAACAACAGCAACAACAGCAACAACAACAACAACAGCAGCAACAACAAGAACAACCGCAACCACAACCACAACCACAACCACGACAACAACACCAACACCAAGACCAACACCAAGACCAACACCAAGACCAACACTAAGACCAACACCAAGACCAACACCAAGACCAACACCAAGACCAACACCAAGACCAACACCAACACCAAGACCAAGACCAACACCAACACCAACACCAAGACCAACACCAGGACCAAGACCAACACCAAGACCAACACCAAGACCAACACCAAGACCAACACCAAGACCAACACCAACACCAAGACCAACACCAAGACCAACACCAAGACCAAGACCAAGACCAAGACCAAGACCAACACCAACACCACCACCACCACCACCACCACCACCACCACCAACAACAACATCAACATCAACATCAACATCAACAACATCAACAACATCAACAACATCAATATCAACATCAACATGTTAAAAATGGGAATGTATATGTATATATAATTATATATATATTTCAATATCTCATCTTCTATCCACAGGGTGACTATACCGGGCCAGGCAAATATGGCTGGATACGCCCCACGGTGCCTGTGGAGCACCCTCAGGCTGCCAGACGGCAGGCCGGGCGTTATTTCAGGGGGGCGCTTGTCATTAGTTCACCAGATATGGTGAAATGTTGCGATTTTATCATGACTAACGAACAGATATACTGAAACGTTGGGATTTTATATTCAAAAATAGGGATCTAACGTGATTTAAACATATTAAACCAATGAAAAATGGACTTGGGATGATCTGGGTGTGTTTGAAAATTGTGGATTCACCCAAAATGGGAATTCTAATAGGGAAGATGATGATTCACCAGTGGATGGAAAGGGTAATGGGATTATAATGGGACACTTAACCAATCAAACATTGTTACTTGGATAAGATTCATCATCAATAGTTTTCCCCCAAGAGTTTCCGGGATATCATTAATGGTTATCCCAAAAAGGTCCAGGACATATCACCTTTTCTGAGATATCAACAAAGCCTGCAAGGTCATCTGAGGTCAGAGTTGTGGGATTTTCATTGGCCAAACCCATGAAAAGGGGGTAAGGAAGGAGGACCTGCCCATATCTTTGTTTCATTTCAGGTGTGGCAAAAATCAGACAGAATCATCAACGTATGGAATTGATTTCGAGAAACATTCGGGATTTGAACAGAAACAATTGGACATTTCCATTTATAGATCCAGTCGGCTGTACACACTGATTTGTATCTCCCAAACTGTGGGTGTGTTTTGATTTTTTTGGTAAGGCAATATGAAAACGGTGGGTCATATTCATACTGTTGGTACATATTTACATGATTATTTATCTGTACATATTATGTATATATATATATATATCTATTTGTAGCGTACCTGTCTAGAAATCCCCCTAGAGTTTAGAATCTGGGGCCTGGTGGGGTCCGTCATGGTGTGCCTTGCCAGGGCTTAATCTATGTGAGCATGAGTGACCTACAAGGTGGATTAGAGGCGGGCGACGGACCCGACGCACACATAGGGAGTCACCCTCTGGTGTCATCATTACGATAGCTGGGAAATCCCCGAACTAAATGGAGGTTGTTATGGGAAAATCATAGATGGCAGAATTTTCTGTTGCCATCGCTGATTCCCCGAGGGTACATTCCTTGATGGGTCATTTAACACTGACAACACTCGTATTGGTTTGCTTTGTCTAAATCATGTCAGCCATGTCATTTTTTGTCAGTGATATACATGTATATATAATCATCACATATATGTATATACATATGTGGTGGGGGGTGGGTTGGAAAAAACATTGATATATATATATATGTATACATGTATACGTTGATTTCTCAAAAAACTGAGGACGAAAAACGATGCTGTTTACATCTCTTTGCATTTATTTGAGGTCCTCATTTCTGAAGAGTACACATATGTGTTACAGGATAACCACAAACAAAGGGATGGCTTCAACACACACAACCAATTTGGTGGGTCCATTGCTATCCCAATCTGACCAACAATGCAAGGCCCTGACGGTAGGCAGCTTATGCCACTTGGAGAGATGTGAGTCGAAGAGGGGTCGGAACACACTGCGACACACCGCCAAATGGGGATTTGACATGATTTGACCATGTAGTCAAGGAATCAGGGATTTATCACCAACCCAGACTGGAGTATTTAACCAATAAAAATCAGAAGATTAAAACACTCGGATCTGTACTAAACCATCCCGAAATTCTGATTCTCAATATTTCTCATTCTGCATATCGTGCTAGGATGTGCTAGGGATTATTTATTTCATAGCCCCCAAAAATTTTGATACTGGGGGATGGTTTCATGCGGAACCCCCATTATATTATATATATATATATTCGAGATATTGAACAGTAAATTATTGATCCCAAAAAAGGTCTTTGGTACAGGTCGGAGTTGGGTACAAGTCGATCTGCGTGTCCCATGGTCTTCCGATGTTTATGTGCATTCGCCTTGCAAGCTTTGGTGGTTAAGTCCCAATCACTCCAATTGTTAGGCAACATCCCTGAGTTTTGGATACATACTTACTGTCTCATTGAAATTATATCTTATCGGGGGCCCAACATTGTAGATTTTGATCTCAAATCTGCCCTAACTGAAATTCAGAGTCCAAGTTTCATGATAAAATGTCTAAATCCATGTTGAACCTAAATTGTTCCATGAAATATCCACATGAAACCCCGATAATTGATATTTAAATCACGTACAACTCGTCGAACAATTCCATGTCAATTCACGAGTTTTCGACGTTTCCCAGCTCCATGAAATCCACAAAACAAATTTTCCAGGACAAATCACGAGATGTTCCACCATTTTCCCACATTCTCTCCGGTGAAATCCTATAATTTTTCATCCTCAAAATCCCCATGATAAATCTCAGGAACATCACCATTTTCCCATCATTTTCCCTGACATTTTTCCAGGACCCTGCGAAAGATCTGCGTCCCGGGCCTAGGTCAATTCCACGTCTTCTGTGATGCCTCGGGCCTGGGTGCTGAGGAAGTCATTGGCTCATGAGGAGCTGAGATGAGCTGGGTGGAAACTCCTGGAAAATATCCATAGAATTTCAATGGCCATGACTCAGGAACCGATTGATTGGAGGTACCTACCATATATTTTTGGCCTATTTTTCAGGCCTAAATTTCAGGGAATATCCTAGAACATATGCCCATTGAGAATTACAAGATCAATTGTAATGTCAACCGAAGGATATCATTGCTGTCATTTTATATACCTAAATATATATATATATTATTATATCATCTGGGTAAATTATAGTAACCTCACTGTTCTCCCTCACTGGAATAATGGTTGGGATTCGGGGAATTATCCCAATATGATCTTATTTCAGGTTAGTGAATTAATTTAATTTGCCCAGATATATCTATACACATTAGCAGACATGTTAGATCGATGGATGGATGGATAGATAGATAGATAGATGGATAGATAGATGGATAGATACAATTATATATGTATATAATGATGAATGACTATATTATAAATGTGATATTAAATCTAGTTGCTATATGATCATATACATATATACATATATATATATGGGATATATACATATATACATGTAATATATTAATATTTATATATCTGTATGTACAGTAATGTGGCAACCCCAATCAAAAAACCATCCCCAAGATTGGATCTAAGTAACCGCATTTAACCAATGAATCATGGGTTTACATATCAATCATATCTATATAATGGGTTTAAGCAACCAGAATTGAGATCTAATATGATCTAATCAATAAATATTGGGGTATATTGGGATCTAATGCAGAACAGAAACAAGAAAGTGATTTTTGTCTGTCTGAAAATGAGGTCTTCCATTCAAATGGTCACTGTTTTTTGGGGAAAAGGTTATCAATTAGCCATGGCATTCGAGGCATCTTATTTTCAGACAAATCCGTATAACTATATTTATAGTACCCTCTGGTAAACTAACATAGCTATTGAAAATTGTCCATTTATAGTTGCTTTACCTATTAAAAATGGTGATTTTCCATAGTTATGTGAGTTTAGCAGAGGGTATATGGTAGACACAATGGTACAAATCCATCCTGTAATCTAGCAGATATATCTATACCCACTTATCTACAATGGTTGACTGGGTTATCTTCTCAACAACAAGTAAGCTATATCTAACTAAATTAATACATATATATATATTGATTACAGTGGTTTATCTACTCAAGTAGCTGAGTAATACCAGGTAATACATCGTTTTCTTATGATAGGTATATCTGCGTAAGCAATATCTCAGCAGGGATTATGGTAGATAAAATATATGAAATGTATATATTGCAGTGGAATACCGCTGTTCTGGGGATATTTTTTTCCAACAAAACACAGGGAATATATATGAGGACATAGTGGAAATAAATGTGTTCAACCACGTATATCAAAATTGGTGAAACAAGCAGAATTTAGCCATATTTAACTGAGCTCATATTTAACACAGCCCCCTTATTGTGAATTATCGCACTTTTTTCACGTGTTGAAGGTGTATGAAATCAGAGCAAACTGCAAAGTGAGATGGAACTAGTCACTACAGTTATGGCCAATAACAGTTCTACATGGAATTATAACTATAACGAAGGTTATATATCATTATATACTTATATATGGCCCATTTATAACTGTGGGCCATAACTGTAGCTAGACTAGTTTCAGGCGATTCATCTACCCATGTTTCCAATACTTCTACAAAGTTGGTTTGAATGTTTTGATATCGGAAGACCCTACGATTCTGGGACATCCAGATGGGTTTATGCGCTTCCGAAGAGAGCAGTGTTCACAACCCGTGGTGGTTGATTCTTGTTTGGGAGTATACTACCCTCTATGATCCTCTATGTATATAATTATATATATAATTACATATATATAAGGGACGATCACAATCCATGAACTGTGAAATCCCTTCACCAGTGGGATGATCCTGCCAGGAAATGATCCTGGACGCGCCGTGACGTCGCATGGAGATGGCAGCCAGTTAGCACAAGAAATCAAACCATGTTCGGCTATACACACATATACATGCATATATATATATGTATATATGTGTGTATGACATAGATCTACACAAGTTTTGTGCATACGATATGATTTTATTCCAAGAAGGCATTCCGTAGCTTTATCAGAATGTCCATGATTTCCTGAAGATATTTAGCCCCCAACCAGGGGGCCACAGCGGCATAGAAATGGCGGAAACGTGGAGGAGCGCGTCGTCAGGAGAAGAGTGGCATTTTGTGAAGGCCAGTGATTTGGGGCCTAAACAGGCTGGAAATTGATGCAGTTCGACAAAACATATCATAAACGGATACATTTATAATCATTTAGATATTTTTTCTAATTGCAATAATATGTATATTAGTGTAATTATATATATATATACACATGTGCTTTTCAGATTCATGCATGCACATGTGATCCACAGCATGTCAGCACTGAAGCAACATTGGAAGAGAACAACAGCAGCATCACGTCCCAGAACGATGCACCTAATCATTGCAGTCGCCCGGCACGGCTGTCTGAAAAGGGGCTGTCTGAAAAGGCTCTGAGCTGATCTGGAGTTAAACAAGAAAAAACAGTATTTCACCAGCAAAAGAATGTGATTAACCATCAAACATGGTGATGTAACCAACAAAAATCGAGATTTAGCCTCAAAAGTATTCAGAAACGTGGTGAACATGACTGGGGAAATGGTGCTTGAACCACATTTCAGCAATGAACAATGGATTGTGGAGGCTCTGAAAATGGAGTACCCCCAGTTTATGGCAATTTTTAATGGGCAAATGAGGTTTTAAACTGTGGGACAAAAAGGGTCCGAATGGTAGTGAAACACTGCACCAACCTTTGCACATTTAGATATGCAAGATGTGAAATTTGCACCAGAACTTACGCTTCCTGCCCATTTGCAGACAAATTCAGTGATTTTGCGTACCTGACGCGAGGAATCGGAACACACCAGTTTATGGCCCTCTTGCTGTGAAGATTTCCCAGTCTTAGCCCTCAGTCTGTTCAAGTTGGATAATTGGATAGCAAACACAGTGAACAGCCGAAACATGTCAAGGCGCTCCGAACGCACCACTTTGGTACCGGTTTTTCACAAGTCTGCTTCTTAGATGAATACCAACAATAAACCAACAATAAACCACCCTAATTGGATATCAATAGATGTGTGATATGAAATACCAACAATTGTTCTTAATATTTGGATAGGATTTGAAAACCACTCAACACCTACAAAATGGACACCCAAAGTGTGCTGCCCAATTGTTGCCAGCCCCCAGTGAGTTCACGCCTCAAAACTTTCCAGGAACAAGAAATGGTGAGGCTAAATGAAGCCGGAAACAACTAGATAGAAGACCATGTTTTAACATATATTAATTGTGTGCTAATATGGGGATACATCATTGCATTGCTTTGTTGAAGACAATGTTTTTTCGCCATGCAGAGCTTGGAAAGCTGGAACGAGAGCTTGGACCATGACTGGGAGGCACTGGGAAATCCTGGAAAGCGATGGAGGTTTTAATGGGACCATCATATATAAACGGAGGATTCACCCTGGATGTGTATATATGATATAAGCAGCACAATATGTAACTATATAGTTAGTGAGTTGTTGCTTTATGGGAATTAATTCATGGACGGATGTAATTCAAAAACAAAACACATATATACAGATAATGAATAATGAACAATATTATATTTGAGTTTGTTCAGAAATGGAGGATACCTCCAAAATTGTTTGTTTTGGAACAAGAATATGAAGGGGAACCCTAATTTTGAATAACACCTCTACATAAACTTTAGCTAATCCTTCCTCCTCATATTAAATACCCTAGAGAAATTGCGTTTGAACAATGTTTGAGCCCATAGAAATGATGATTTACCTTCCTATTCCTTTGTGGGAGGGTTGAACATGTACTCCCATTCACTGATTAATACTGATTATATATATTGTCCCATGATATGCTCACTATGGGATATCTTGATTTGTGTTTGAGAAATGTAAAACTTCTACATTGTACCCAAAATGAAGAAGAAATGAACACATTCAACCGCAGTATTGGAGTTTGAAATCCATGAGCATCTAGAACACATTCATATACACACGTATATATATATACATGTTATATGAATATTATATATATATGTATATATGTATGTATATATGTATGTATATATGATATATATATATATATGTATATTCATACGTGTATAAATATATATATATATATATAATATGTATATATATATGTACATATACATATATATATGTTTATATTTATGTATATATATGTATGTATATACACTGTATATTTACTCGTAGCAACCATCATAAAGTTCTAAACGAAATCTGCAAGCGTCCGCACATCAAATCACTATCCAATGACTATCACCACATCAGAAGGGGTACATATACCCCATCCCAAGCTAATTTAGACGACGACGACAACAACAACAACAACAACAACGACACAGCAACTCGCAGAACACATTAACAATACCATTAACATCTCTAAACCATGGGATCGTTTGAACCCCAACAGTCCAAGTCGCTTCATTATGTGTCGCCCAGGAGGAACCAACTGAGCCTCCACCTCCGCCTCCTCCGTTGAAACGCCACAAGGGCCTCTCGGCAGAAAAAAAACGCAAAAAAACTGTGGCCTCAAGGAATGTATCTCGGATATTTTCTCGTCAAGAGTACGACGAGACGCTGAATACGGCTTTCAATTTCCTCATATCCCTTTACGGAGAAACCATGTTGCAATCCTTGATTTTGCTGAGTCAGCTATCTGATCCAGTCAAGTCATGTCACGTCGATGTTTGGTTCGGAACACGACTCTGGTGACAGTGGCTGCAGGTCCCAGCGAGTCGTGGGTTGTGGATTCAATCCCTCCGTCGGATCAGTGACAGTTGGTCCGAAACACTTTATGCCGTGGAACTTTGGCACAAAAAAACCTGTAAGACTTTAGTGGATTCCAAACATTTTTCTGGAGGTTTGAGTTGGAAAATCAACTATACTTGGGGATTTTCCAGCACGCCATGTTTCAGTAATTGCAGGAGGTTAAAATGATATTATGTTTACTATGTTCTTCAATGAGAAATACGTTCCATAGAATTCGGATAATTAAAGAACTGAGTTACTACTTCAACATTTTTGGTAGGATAATGATGGGAATACGTCTCTGAAGTCCTTCGGAAATTCCAACCATGACATACCTGCTACGTACCAGGTATGAAACCAGGGAATTCCAACCATGGTGATGTAGTTACCTTATCAATGCAATCATCCACCTAGGTCTGTGAAATTATCCAGGGGGTATCTAATTTGTGTCCCGGCATTTCCAGTCCAAGCATCAAAATAGTTAGAATAAATAGTATTATTTAATACTGGTTGCTGGTTTGGAACCATGGAATTTTATGACTTTCCATTCAGTTGGGAATGTCATCATCCCAACTGACGAAGTCTTATTTTTCAAGTGGTTATTGCACCACCAACCAGAAGACCTGACCATATGGCAAGAACTAAACCAAGTGGTAGCCTTTGGGTGGACATCATTGGACATCATTTTGAACGTACCCCGCAGTGAACCACTGGATTTTTTGTTGCTCACATTTTTGTGGTTGGATTTATGTTTTTTTTTGGTTTAAATTATGCTTCCTTTATCTAAGAAGACCGCGCTTGTGTCTTCTGCCGGACAGGGAAACTATGTTCAAAATTTGTCAAGAGTGGTGAAGAACGCTCAAAAAGCAGAAATCACAAAAAAAATAGATCAAAGTTCATTTGTATTCATTTGTGCAGTTTTCGATGATGCAGGTATATATATTGTCTAGTCCTACAGATTATCGTTTGTATAGTTTTGTATATATTGAATATCTAGAAACTTGTGATCTCTTTGTTGTTTACATAATCGAATAGACACGGGCAGTTTCCACATTCAGGGTTTGGTTTAGTTTGGTTTTGAATCTCTATTGTATTGCCCCCTAGATTATCTCCTGTTTATTATATGTATATATAATATATAACGTACGTATATGGTATATGTGAATATATTTGAACCATATATTCGTTGTATATAGAATCCTAAAATGCTTTGAAACTTCCAAACCAGGGCTAAACATCTCTCCACTGAGGCCCGACGCTGCAACCAAAACCAAAGGCATGTGGATTTCCATGGGTGATTTGATTTGACCATCAATAAACATATCATAAAACATGTGGAAAGATATGATGATGGTTTTCTGATATATCAAAATATAGAAAAGAAATTATATGATATCATAAAATTACATGATTTACTATATCAACCAAAATCTAGATTTCATGGTGATTTTACCATGGGGATTTTTGTTTCATGAAACGTGGTGATTTGACCATGGTCTGTCCAATTTTTTGTACAGAAATAGCCTGTATAGCTGCAGAACATGGCACTTTCAATGGGAGAAATGGTGATTCACCAGTACCCTCTGGTAATTTAACAAACATAGCTATTGAAAATCACCATTTTCAATGGGTAAATCCACTATTTCTATGGCCATTTTCAATAGCTATTTTGACATAACCAGAGGGTAAGTTTCGGCAAACCAGTGCCCTGAAATTTTCAGAACCGAGCTATGACATGTTTCGACATGTTTCGGTGAGCTAAATTCACCCAGAAACCATACAATTGTTCTTTTTTGGGGGACTAAATGATTCTTAATTACTATATATTGAACATAGATTCTTTTTTGGGGGAGACTATATAATACTATATACCATGGGTCAAAAAAATATGTAGCATTAATTTACTAATGATTGTCTACTTTTTTATTTGAAAAAATGAATCGTAAAGATGCAAGCCTCAGGGGATGAGGAAACCGTCAAGATGTGGACCTGTGGCCCGGCCAATCCAAAGTACCTGGAGGTTGATGCATAGATGTCCCATTTTTTCCCATTGGTTGGTTGATGAAAAAAGAGAGGTTTGAAGGTGTACCCCTGAAAAACAAGAGGTTTGTAAATGATGATAGATGGGATTAACCAGCTCCCGACCAGCCTTTTTTTCAGCAATTCTGGACATTGATTTGATGTGAGATTGATCAAGAATCCAATTCACATCAGGATGGTCAGGTAAGATGTGAATGGGTGAATGGGCCTTGGATCAATAGATATCAATAGCCGAGTGAGTCGAGTCTGGGTTGATGTACGATTTCATGTTCCTGGGGCGCAACAGACTCTATTAGTTTCAGAAACAAAGTCATGTCTACTGTTTTTTTTTTGTTTTTAATGTTTTTTTTTTTGTGTATCGAATTGCATTGACTATCATGTGCTCAAACATGTTCCAGCAACATCCATCAACTATGGGTCACCTAACTATAATTCATGGTTTCACTATCGTTCCTATCTGGTTGGTGGTTTCAAACATTTTTTATTTTCCATAATATACGGGATAATCCTTCCCATTGACTAATATTTTTCAGGGGGGTTGAAACCACCAACCAGCTATGGTTAATTAACATGATTAACTATATCTAGAGTTAGTGAATTCAACCATTTCAATGGACCAATATAGTATTCACTATCGTTACTAGAGTTACTATATGTCACCAACTGGTTAATTAACATCATGGTTTCACTATCGTTAATATATCTTATATGGTTATATAGTCAATGAAATCTAGCCAATTAAGTATGGTATCACTATGGATCAATGAACATAATTAACTATTTCTTGGTTAATATCGTTTGTTAACTATATCTATAGGTTTTTTGATGTTTTTTGTTTGTTAACCAATTGGCCCATTCAAATATGATCCATTCTGGTGACCCAAGCCCCGCCCGCTCGCGCGGCAGGGTTCGCCGGCTTCGTCTGGACGCGGTGGACAAAGGCGGGTCTTGTGCAGCTGATCTAGAGCCAACATGGATGGAAGATGTGGGGATTTTTGATGGTGATACAGATATTACAGATAGAGGAAGATACATATAATGATTATCTGCTTGGTGGTTTCAAACATGAATTTTATTTTTCATAATATATATGGGAATAATCATCCCAACTGACGAACTCCATCATTTTTCAGAGGGGTAGGTCAACCACCAACTACATATTCATATATATATACACCCTCTGGTTATTTAACATAGCCAAAGAAAAATGGCCCATTTATGGATGATTTTCCCATTAAAACCTCCATTTATAAGGGATTTTCCATGGCTTTGTTAAATAACCAGAGGGTAATTAATATAGTTATGGACAATCATCACATCTTTGATGTGTTTATCCATACATGGCCCATTTTTTGGCCATGTTCCCAATGCAATCGCCGGATGGAACAATATACAAAGATTTACCCCTTTTGAACGGCCGGTTGGATAAGTTTCGCCTATAAGCCCAAAGAACTTGTTTGGCTCACCTTTTGAATTTTGTTTGGGGATTGGTTAAATCAAACACGGAGTCATAAAAGATGAGGGGATAAACTGATACCTTCCGGGGTTCGTAGAAAGCCTGTGGATGACTGCCTCAAATTCTGAAAGGAAAGCTACAACTGGATCCAGAGGGACAGGATCACCGATATCCTCGATGTTTTACAGCCTGAGGGGTTTTCATGAAACATCATGAAACCCACAGATTGGCTGCTTAAACTCACCACCATCATCATCATCCTTCGGTGGAGTGTTGGGTGTATCTTCGATAAGTCATGGAATCTGGGGGTTTCCAAGCCTGAGGGATGCCCAAAATCATGGCTTTCCATACTAAGATAGTCTAAGTTTGGCTGATTTGGGGTACCCCCATTTTATTAAACAAAAACCGTTACAGTACTAGTAAGAAATGTAAGTCCTTTGGAATTGGGGATGGCAGTGACTGGGCATTTCATCATTTATTATGTTGCTCAGGTATGGGGGCCTGGTTGCAGCGTCTTGCTGACAGCAGTCCTGTATGCATCTGCGGATGAACGACTGGCAGATCTTACATGGACGCATGCCATTGGTGGCCTCAGCCTACACCATACAATGTGGTGCTGGCTACTTGGCCAACTGCATGCTTTGACCTCGAACTTCAACAAGTTCTATGTCATCATGCTTCAGATCCATGCGGTCAACATGATGTGTGGTACATTCAGCTCTGTTACTTCTGACTCAGTGACTCAGTGATGCTGGAAGCACCAAGCCGGAATTTGCTAAGAACGACAGACGTCGAACTGGCTGAATAAACCAGAATATAACCTGGGGAGCACCACATTATAGGAAGATCTTCGGCCAGAAAACCTCAGCAAGATTGAGAATCTGTTCTCCAATCATTCCTTCAACATTCAAAACCTGCAGAATATTGAGGTCCCCAGTATACAATTGTGGGATGGAAATTCTGTGCATCAATGCCTTCACATAAAACTGTTCCATTGAATGTGGTGGCTTGCTCCATTTGGTACCCCATATGCATCGTTTCTTTGGGTCAAACAACGAACACGTATCACTTGGACTTTGACTTGGAAACATTTTAAAGTTACCCTCTGGTAAACTAACACAACTATGGAAAATCACCATTTTCAATGGGAAAACTCACTATAAATGGCCATTTTCAATAGCTATGTTAGTTTACCAGAGGGTACTTTGGATATCGGGTCCCAAATGATTCATGTGATAAGTGGGTGTCACTCACCAATCCAGTGATACGTTGAACTGATGGAAGATACAGTGGATATCACAAAATGACGTCCCCATGGTTGAATGACTTAGTCAACTTTGACTTAGATGCAATATTTGTTCGTTTTATTTTTGGTTAAAACAATGTTGGCCCCGGGATTTGGGGGATTTTTAAGAACATCATTTGAAAACAATCAGTACATACTCGTATCTGCTGGAGACAAACCATCCTTAGCTTGGATTTGCTGAATCTACGATAATTTTCCCATGGGTTAATCACGATTAATCGGTTAATCCACCAAAAATGGATAATTTTTTCCAATTTTTTTCTGGTGGATCAACCACTGCAAACAAAAATCATCATTTTCTTCCTGACGGCTTAATTCAGGACTAGATTATTGGAGAAACATATATCATATATATATATGTATATATATATACATCCCCTGGAACATATTTTTTGCAGGACTCCTTCAGCACGTCCAAGTCAATAGCTGGGTGATGTGAAAAAAAACCAATCGGAAATCGACATAATCGACCACCCCTTGCCGATGCGTCACAAGGCCCTGGCCAAGTAGCGTGACGCCAGAACACAAGGCGTACTCGCCTGGTTGGTTTCTTGATATGGTGGGAAACCAGGCTGGGTGTGTCCCAAAAAATGCTGAACATTGGGTGATTTAACCATCCAAAGTTGGGAAAAAAACCGTGTTAAACCATGGATTTGGGTGTCCAAAAGTGGGCCACGGGCTACGGAAATACCCAAAGTAGCACCGATTTTCGCGATTTTCACAGGAATGATCATCAAATCTTGGGAATATTTTCCAAACCAAAGCTGTGCCCAGAGTTCAACCGATCTCAGATGAGCCTGTACAGCCCCACAGTTGATTCCTGTGGGCCAATGTTTGGGCCTTTGCCATTTCTTGACAGCAGGTAGATACGAACAAGTGAGGAATCATAGTACCCCACTTGCTCTTTTTGCGATTGGGACCTCCAAATCCTCAAACATAGCACTCTTGGGTCATTCGTTCCGGACTGCAACTCATTCTTTGTTTGCATCTCGGTCCATATGTCTCGCACACTGCACATCAAGGCACACACTTGAAGAAAAGAGGTGGTTTGTTCATGATTGCTCATTACTCATTACTCATTACCGTTCATGATTGCACTTGCTTTGCACTTGACAAGCCTTGCTTGGGTTTGGAAAAGGATGATTAGGATGAGGACCACAGTAGTCCAGTGGCCGTTCTTGCTATTTGGACTTCCAGATTCCTCACATAGCAGTTTTGAGTCACTTGCTCCTGTTTGCACCCTCTGTTTGCATACTGGTCCCATATGTCTCACACATGTCTAAAGCATCTTGAAGATTCTTGAAGCATCCTGAAGCATTCTTTTTCAAAGATGTTGTTCTCTGTGAGTTTTGTTCTGACGTGTCCTTTTGTGATGTCATCCTGTACGATGATGTCTGTGTTTTGATTGTTCTTGTCATGTGTCATGTCTTGACAGCAGGTAGATACGAACAAGTGAGGAATCATAGTACCCCACTTGCTCTTTTTGCGATTGGGACCTCCAAATCCTCAAACATAGCACTCTTGGGTCATTCGTTCCGGACTGCAACTCATTCTTTGTTTGCATTTCGGTCCATATGTCTCGCACACTGCACATCAAGGCACACACTTGAAGAAAAGAGGTGTTTGTTCATGATTGCTCATTACTCATTACTGTTCATGATTGCACTTGCTTTGCACTTGACAAGCCTTGCTTGGGTTTGGAAAAGGATGATTAGGATGAGGACCACAGTAGTCCAGTGGCCGTTCTTGCTATTTGGACTTCTAGATTCCTCACATAGCAGTTTTGAGTCACTTGCTCCTGTTTGCACCTTCTGTTTGCATACTGGTCCCATATGTCTCACACATGTCCAAAGCATCTTGAAGCATCCTGAAGCATCCTGAAGCATTCTGGAGCAAAGATGTTGTTCTCTGTGAGTTTTGTTCTGACGTGTCCTTTTGTGATGTCATCCTGTACGATGATGTCTGTGTTTTGATTGTTCTTGTCATGTGTCATGTCTTGACAGCAGGTAGATACGAACAAGTGAGGAATCATAGTACCCCACTTGCTCTTTTTGCGATTGGGACCTCCAAATCCTCAAACATAGCACTCTTGGGTCATTCGTTCCGGACTGCAACTCTTTGTTTGCATCTCGGTCCATATGTCTCGCACACTGCACATCAAGGCACACACTTGAAGAAAACAGGTGGTTTGTTCATGATTGCTCATTACTCATTACTCATTACTGTTCATGATTGCACTTGCTTTGCACTTGACAAGCCTTGCTTGGGTTTGGAAAAGGATGATTAGGATGAGGACCACAGTAGTCCAGTGGCCGTTCTTGCTATTTGGACTTCCAGATTCCTCACATAGCAGTTTTGAGTCACTTGCTCCTGTTTGCACCTTCTGTTTGCATACTGGTCCCATATGTCTCACACATGTCCAAAGCATCTTGAAGCATCCTGAAGCATCCTGAAGCATTCTGGAGCAAAGATGTTGTTCTCTGTGAGTTTTGTTCTGACGTGTCCTTTTGTGATGTCATCCTGTACGATGATGTCTGTGTTTTGATTGTTCTTGTCATGTGTCATGTCTTGACAGCAGGTAGATACGAACAAGTGAGGAATCATAGTACCCCACTTGCTCCTTTTGCGATTGGGACCTCCAAATCCTCAAACATAGCACTCTTGGGTCATTCGTTCCGGACTGCAACTCATTCTTTGTTTGCATCTCGGTCCATATGTCTCGCACACTGCACATCAAGGCAGACACTTGAAGAAAACAGCTGGTTTGTTCATGATTGCTCGTTACTCATTACTGTTCATGATTGCACTTGCTTTGCACTTGACAAGCCTTGCTTGGGTTTAGAAAAGGATCATTAGGATGAGGACCACAGTAGTCCAGTGGCCGTTCTTGCTATTTGGACTTCCAGATTCCTCACATAGCAGTTTTGAGTCACTTGCTCCTGTTTGCACCTTCTGTTTGCATACTGGTCCCATATGTCTCACACATGTCCAAAGCATCTTGAAGCATCCTGAAGCATCCTGAAGCATTCTGGAGCAAAGATGTTGTTCTCTGTGAGTTTTGTTCTGACGTGTCCTTTTGTGATGTCATCCTGTCCGATGATGTCTGTGTTTTGATTGTTCTTGTCATGTGTCATGTCTTGACAGCAGGTAGATACGAACAAGTGAGGAATCATAGTACCCCACTTGCTCTTTTTGCGATTGGGACCTCCAAATCCTCAAACATAGCACTCTTGGGTCATTCGTTCCGGACTGCAACTCTTTGTTTGCATCTCGGTCCATATGTCTCGCACACTGCACATCAAGGCACACACTTAAGGAAAACAGGTGGTTTGTTCATGATTGCTCATTACTGTGCATGATTGCACTTGCTTTGCACTTGACAAGCCTTGCTTGGGTTTGGAAAAGGATCATTAGGATGAGGACCACAGTAGTCCAGTGGCCGTTCTTGCTATTTGGACTTCCAGATTCCTCACATAGCAGTTTTGAGTCACTTGCTCCTGTTTGCACCCTCTGTTTGCATACTGGTCCCATATGTCTCACACGTGTCTAAGATTCTTGAAGCATCCTGAAGCATTCTTTTTCAAAGATGTTGTTCTCTGTGAGTTTTGTTCTGACGTGTCCTTTTGTGATGTCATCCTGTACCAGGATATCTGTGTTTTGATTGTTCTTGTCATGTGTCATGTCTTGACAGCAGGTAGATAAGAACAAGTGAGGAATCATAGTACCCCACTTGCTCTTTTTGCGATTGGGACCTCCAAATCCTCAAACATAGCACTCTTGGGTCATTCGTTCCGGACTGCAACTCATTCTTTGTTTGCATTTCGGTCCATATGTCTCGCACACTGCACATCAAGGCACACACTTGAAGAAAAGAGGTGTTTGTTCATGATTGCTCATTACTCATTACTGTTCATGATTGCACTTGCTTTGCACTTGACAAGCCTTGCTTGGGTTTGGAAAAGGATGATTAGGATGAGGACCACAGTAGTTCAGTGGCCTTTAAGGTTGTCTTGCGCCGCTGTTTCTGCTTTCTGATTACATTCTGGCCCCTGATGACTCGCACATGTCTATAGACAGTGTCCGAAATATCCTATAACTCCAAGTGCCTTCATCTATGAATTTGATTTACCCTCTGGTTATGTCAAAATAGCTATTGAAAATGACCATTTATAGTGGATTGTCCCATTAAAAATGGTGATTTTCCATAGTTATGTTAGTTTACCAGAGGGTAGTTTTTTTTTCTTACAGTATAGTACCTTTTTTTTATTTTTCCAATGTTTGTCGACCATGGTTTTGTTCTGGTGTTCTTCACCCCCCGAAATGGGGTCAGCGTGTCACTGATGTGACTGGTTGATGGTTAACCATCCCTGGTTGGAGTTGAAATAACGACCTCACTACGACCTCACCATAGATGAGGCTTGGTAAGAGGAATTATTATCCCCAAACGGACGGCCTTATTTGAGGTTAGTGAATTATTATAATCGACCCAGATATATGAAGATTCTGGTTGAACTGAAAGGACATGAAAATTGCAATTCATATCAATTAAATTGTCCTATCTTTCAGAAGGCAATTACAATTGAAAAAAAAATCAGATTGAAATTATCACATCTCCGGAAAGAAGACATAAGAAAAATGGAGATCTTAAAACTTCCTTCAGCAAACGTGATGCCCCTGCTCCAGGTGCAGTCATCCGAATGGCCAGAGCGTAGCCTGGAGATGCTGCGGCGGTGTTTGGATCATACATGAGGATTATTATATGGGGATGGGTCAAAACCCTGGTACCCCTGGTGAACCCCAAAATAGCTGGTAAATGGATGCTCATCCCACTAACAATGTATCTATAGGTATTGACCCATACCCATATACAATTACAGCACTATTGATCACATAGTTAATAATAAACCAGAATTATGGGGTTATTGAACCATCTAGAATGCATCAAAAAAAAGGGGATATGGGTATGGATCAATACCTATAGATACCATTTTTAGTGGGTTATTCACATCCATAAATCCCAGCTATGACTTGATGTGAACAAAAAAGGGGTACTATTGGTTTTGACACACTGCCATATACCAAACAGCTAGATTTCTTTCCGGGGGATGTAAGATCGGCCACGCTTGGGGCTTGGGGTGTATGGCACAAAATCTCTTGATCAGGAATTTAGCATCTGCCAAATTTTGGGGTCTTGACCCCTGGGGAAAGAATTGATGGCTAATCACATTGGTGAATTCGTAATGTTCCAGACCTCAGTTTTGGTCGACACAAAACAATGAATAACATGTATTGAAATGTGAGTTTATCAACAATGTCTCTTCGCTAGAGTTTTAAACAGGGAAAAACACTTGAAAATTTGTCTTACAGTTTTTCTAAATATCCCCATGTCCCAATGGTGCTTAAAGTAATTAGCCATCACAAAGTAATCAATTTTTCCAGTAGTATTTATAGGGACAATCCACAGGAATCTACCATCATGATTACACGAAGCCTCTTCATTGTCCTTTAAACAACTTGAAACACCAGCTACAATATGAATTTTGTTGATACGGGGTAAATATGAATATGGGATAATAGGGTAAATGATATCAATGGCCATGACTCAGGAACCGGTGGAGGACGGAGGTACCGATTCCATAGATTTTTGGCCTATTTTTTAGGCCTAAATTTCAGGGAATATCCCAACAAAATATGGCCATTACCCTCTGGTAAACTAACATAGCTATGGAAAATCACCATTTTTAATTGGTAAATCAACTATAAATATCTATATATAAATCACCATTTTCAATATAATTATGGAAAATCCACTATTTCTATGGCCATTTTCAATAGCTATTTTGACATAACCAGGCCGGGTATATCTCTATTTGTCTTACTGCTTCAATCCCAACTGAATCGCTCCAAGTTCCACTGGAGTTTTTGGAGTTTTCGACACCGTGCGGACAAGTGTAGAAGCACGAAGGTTTTCATCGGATTTCCCAAGGTTATTCTACCAACAAAATGGTATCCATGGATAATGTTGTCTGACCAATAGTGATATCTTGTCAATAGTAGAAACATTTTTCCGCAACTTCAATTTTTCTCCAATACTAAAAGTCAATTAGCTCTATTTACTTTAAGAGTCATGTTCAGACCTTGTCCAGAGGGCATGGCCAATATATAGTGGACCCAACATGGCAATAGTGGAAACTTTTTTCCCAACTCCAATTTTTTCTCCAATACTAAAAGTCAATTAGCTCCATTTACTTTTAGTATTGCCAAAAGAGTCAAGTAAAGCAAATCCTTTTCAAAGCAGCCTTCACTTTTGATTAGCAAAAGCTTAGATTCCAGAAATCTGATCCAATTACCAAACAGCTGATTTCCTTATAAAACCCTTATTAAAAAAAGCAAGAAAACAGGTCCACAAAGGGTACCCCCTTTGCAAGCCCCAGAATAGCAATAACAAACCTGCACCAGGCATGGCAATAGTGGAAACTTTTTTCCGCAACTCCAATTTTGTTGTCCTCCTTCTCCTTCTCCTTCTTCTCCTTCTTCTCCTCCTCCTCCTCGTCCTCCTCCTTCGCCTCCACCACCTCTGCCCCCACTTCCATGTCCACTTCCGCCTTGCCAACTCTTCGCCAATCTCTCAGAAACCCAACCAAATCCATTCAGAATCTATCAGAAACCCAACAAAACCATGGAGAATCTATCAGATACATATCATGATCCCAGCTATAGATTCCCAAAAATTATTATAGGAAGGTTGACCCCCCCTAAAAAAAAAATAGGGGGGGAGGGGGGTAATTACTATTAGGCAGCCAACATTACTGTAGATACAACACAATATCCATATTTCTAGAACAACTAAAAAAACTATCCATTCATGATGTAATGTGTCTAAACACTAATATTAAACACTTCATAATCTGTCGCTACATTGCTCTCCATGTCCGAGGTGCGACATGGCCAACGAAGGTGGAGGAGGTGGAGGTGCCAAGTACTTGCCGATGAAAGCATGGAGGGGGATGACATGTCCCCATTGGAACGTTGCTATCATTGGGAATATCCATGGGAAATAGCACTTATGATCCTATAGAAATGGTGGTTTTAGCCGCTTTTAAATCTTTTAACATGTTTGGCTGTGAAGAAACTAAACAATGGTTCCATGCTGGTTATTTCCAGTTCAAAATCACCATTTTTTTGTGGTCACAGAACTAGATTTTTCTGCGAGTTGGTTTATCTCTCGAACTAGCGGAGTTTGGCTCAACTTCGAAAACTGGAGGAGGCTGATGCCCGCCTCTGGGATTGTGGTTGCCACCCCCCCATTAGTTGGGATTAATGAGCCCTGGATTAAACCATGATAACTACGGTTATCCTTTTTTATACCTGGAAATCAACCATGGCGAAATGACATGTCTAGAAAACATGGGGCGTCATTTTTATCGGTTTCTGAGAGGTTTTCCTGGGGATGCTTGATGTACTGATATACAAGCAGCAATTTGGGGTTAAATATGGTTAAATGAGAGTTGGGAACTCAGTGGTTATTGAACCATCTAGAATGCATCAAAAAAAAGGGGATATGGGTATGGATCAATACCTATTAATACCGTTTTTAGTGGGATGAGCATCCATTTACCAGCTATTTTGATGTTCACCAGGGGTACAAGGTTTTGACACACTGCCATATATCATGAGATATTTAAGATTTCAACATAACCATGAAGAGATCCTCGGGTAATGAATCATGGCTGGGAAATTCCGAACTAGGGTTTCAATTGGAAAATCAATGAACCACATACCAAATGATGGATTTTTCCAGCAAACCAGGTTTGATCACAAGAGGGTATAGATATATATATATATATATACACGTTATTATGTAAATATATATATATATATACATGAAATGGCCTAAATTGCTTTATACTTTCGTGAATTATATCGAGTTCAACCAGAGCGGTTCCACTTTTCAAACAATGTATAACAATGTATGTACGGTTCCTTGCGGGTGTGAACATTCAGATTCAGGCGACACAGCAAGGATGTTCTTTGGGAAGGGAATATCAATGGCCATTTCAGGAACCTATATAAATTGGCCAAACATATGGTACTAACGTACCTCCATTTTAGGATCCTGAAGATCTCCCATTGAAAATACTGTGTCAAATTTAAGGCTGCCTCCTTTGCAGCAGTCCTTCATCGCAGTCTAGTGACCAACGAGATGATCTCATGGGCGGATGGTCTTTTTTGTGATTTCACCACGAGGAGGACTCTGGGGTCATATTGTGTCATACCCTCTGGTAAATAAACATAGACCCTGAAAATAGCCAATTTTTAATGGAAACTAGTCTTCCAACCCCTATCTGCCAGGGTCTATGTTAATTTACCAGAGGGTAAATCGTGTTGACATGTGTTGACTGTTTGTCTGAAGACCATACGTTTCATTGAGTATTTGATTGATGAACACCCAATGACTTTCACCTTGTTTCCCAGACATAATATACTGGTTGGTGGTTTGGAAATGTTTGGAACATGAATTTTATTTTTCCATAATATATGGGATAATCCTTCCCAACTGACTTTCATATTTTTCAAGATGGTGGAAACCACCAACCAGACATAATACCAGACATAATACCCTTTGGTAATTTAACATAGCTATTGAAAAATGACCATTCATAATATAGTTGATTTACCTATTGATAGCATGGTGATTTTGTGATTGTCCATAGCTATGTTAGTCATTACCAGAGGGTATAGATCGGTTTGGCTGAAAGCCTATCACTCCTCCACAGAGCCGACAGGTGCAGTACTCCCAGGATGACACCGACTTCGCGTGGGAAGCTGACACCTGGGAGGATGACTGGAAGGAGGCCGAAGCGGGGATGGAACCGGGGGGTTTTGTAGTTGGAAGTGACCGTATGTAGGATGGTTGATGTATGATGATGTATGTTGCATGTTATATATATTATATATTATATATTATATATTATTATATATATATATTCTATGATATACATATTTGATCATGCTCGTATACATACATATATATATATAGAGAGAGATACATATATATATATATATACGGATTTCCAAACATCAACTTGGTGATCAGAACATCAATCATTTCGCACATATACCATCATGGGCCCAACAATTGTGGACATAGCGACTAAGAGATATGCACAGAACTGTTCCGAAATGGAAGGACGTTTGGCTGCCATGGATTTTTCAACACCAACCAGATGGGTCGCTGAAAGGTAAAGAGGCCAATGCACGATGATCTCTGCAAGTGAGAAGTAGTCATGAATTGGTTTCAAGCCTGACTTGCGTGATTTTCAGAAACGTTGCATTTTTTTTCCTATGCCTTTTTGATTTTTTGGGGATTGGGGGAATTCTTGCAATGTGTTACCCCCCCAGTTGTAATTATGGTTGTTTATGTTAACCCAAGGAACTAGCATAAACTCCACACTTTCTACCCACATTACAATTATACAAGTTATATAGTTTATAAACCATAGATAACCATAGCAACTCCTTGGATATATCTAGTCTACAACCCAACAGTGGAGTTGGCCCTCAACCACCTGGTGCTACAGGCGGCACCGGTCGGCGCCACTAGCAGCCTCTTGTCGCGGCTGCACCAACAACTCTCCGAGACGGAGGCGTTGACAAAACCGAGACGGGATGCACCGAAAACTTATGGGACATAATGGGGAATAATAGGATTTAATGTGATCTCATGGGATTATCATGGGATTGTCATGGGATATTTATAGGTTTTTATGGGATATTTATGGGATTTTATGGGATTTTTCAATGGGATTCTTCAATGGGATGATGCACATTTTGGATGTTTCATGAGATTGTGGGAAGAACCACGAATATGGGAGATCACCGAAAATATTGAGGGTTCTGTCATGGCGGATCTCCAAGTCACCTTTTCGGTTTCAATTTTTCTGTTCATGGTCGTTCATGACGACTGGATGAGAACTAGGGGTACCCCCATTGGAAATCCCCATAGATGACATGGGAAGATGATGTGCTCACCAAAAGTTTGTTTGTTTAATGGCTTGGATGATCCTAAATTGTCAATCATGTTTGAATTGTTCCTATATATATATTAAATAACATTATATATATATATACACGCAATATAACCAACAATGTAAGTTTTAGATAGCTATAATAGGTTTTTAGAATTGTTCCTACACATATATATATATATATATGTGTGTGTGTGTTAAGTTATCCTAAACATGTGTGTGTGTGGAATCTAAATAGTTGGGTATCTCGCTGGTCAAATTCTCATGATCGCGCTGGTCAATGCGTAATGTCCTTGTGCCCAGGTGACATCTCACCAAGGGTTCAACATTGAAATTCATCTATAGATGTCCATTGTCCATAGATTTCCCATTGATGTCTATGCATGGGATGATTCCTTATTGATCCCTATTGTTTTTTATTTGTGTTTATTCCATATTTTCTATTGTTATTATGTCTTATCATTATGCCGTATTTCCCTTTGATTCTATCAATTATATATGTATGTATATATACATATATATACATATATATATAATATATATATACATACATACATATATATATATATACATACATATATATATACACATCTACATATACATATATACATATGAATTTATTCATTTATTTATCTATACATATTACGATTTCCAATTGATGTCCTGCATGTTCACTACTATAAATCTGATCAAACCTGTTTTTTGTTGTGGTAAAAAGATGGCCCTTGTCGTTTCAGACTTCAGCCCCAGGCGGCACTGGCAGCCCTGGAAGCTGAGGCCATCAGTGTTATAGTGATACTTGATTTAAGGGAAAATTTACTGGTAAATTAACATAGACCCTGAAAATGATCAGTTTATAGTGGAAACTAATCTTCCAGCCCCTATTTGGCAGGGTCTATGTTTAGGTATATTTACCTACATTTGGGTGATTTTTAGGGTAAATGTTGGTAAATATTCCATACATGGAGCATATGGGCATATGAAAAATGGGAAAACCGATGGTTTCCGGTTCCGATTTTCCCCAACAAACCAATCCATTGATGATAAGATAGCCACACGAGTACAATACATAATAGCGGACAGATCCAGAACATGTTATTCTATACATATATATATATATATATGCGTGGACAATCCACAAGTGATTTTTTTTTTTAAAACACATGCATGTGGTCAAATATGTCCCACCACTTGTTCCAATTTTTGGACAAATTTCAAAATGGACAACATGGTCAAACAATGGATGGAAAAAAATGAAAAGAAAGAAAATCCTCTAGTTTTGCCTGACGAGAAAGCATTTCCTTCCAAAACCAAAACAATACTGGTTGGTGGTTGCCAGCGGGCGCACCAGGCGCCTGGTAATTTCGTGTGTTCTCTGTGTTAAATGGGTTCGTTCGGGGGGGGGGGGGGGGGGGGGGGGGGGGGGGGGGGGGATGTTAACGTTCATTGGACTTGCACACTTACGTGATGCTGCGCTACTGCACGTTCTCCTCAAGTTACACAACTACGTGATGCTACGCTACTGCACGTTCTCTTCAATTAACACACTACGTGATGCTACGTTGACTGGGGTGGGGGGTGGGTGGGTGGGTGGGTGGGGGGGATGTTAACGTTCACTTGGGCATCTGGGTGGAATCACCAAAACAAAGAGTTTTGCCGCCTGCTCACTGACATCAACAGTACCAAGTTGTCGAAAATCGCTGGCACGCAGCAAATCGACCGACAATGGTTGAGTCTGAAGAAATTTGTTTTTTCCAATCTTCACAGAAAAGTGAAGACTTTGGTGGGGTCAGAGGTGAATCCATCTCTGCGACGTCGTTGTTTCCAATATGTGTGGAGATGTAATCTCCAAACTTGTACACCACTGGTCATGCTGAAAGAGCTGGCAAAGTTGGTGAAAAACAACGACGCCGACAACTGCTAAAAGAGTTGAAAAGAGACGTTTTGATGCAGAAACGCTATAGAAACGCCAGGCGCCTGACGCGCCCGCGACCTGGTTTGGAACATGAATTTTATTTTCCCATATATTGGGAATGTCATCATCCCAACTGACGAACTCCATCATTTTTCAGAGGGGTAGGCTGAAACCACCAACCAGAATAAGGCATGTATCTCTTGCATGGCAAGCCATGAAACGGGGCGAGATTTGGTGAGCACCTTTTGACAGAAACGGGCCCCAAGAATGTATATGGGTATGTCTGAAAATGGGGTATATTCCCAATTATAGCCATTTAATAGGGATAATGATCATTAACCATTGGGTTTAGGGGTACACTATTTTCAGACACACCCATATAAACTCACTGGAGACCAATCACCTTAAAGTACTGGACTCAAGGCCCAAGGAAATTTGATCTCGGAGTTCCGCCCAGTTCCGTTGTTCGGTAGCTTCTTCGCCAAAAAACCCAGGCAGTTCCGCCCATTTCAGTTGCACTAAAAAATACCAAATACTTTGCAGATTTCCGAGTTGACTGTTGAATTATAGCCACGCAATTCCGGCTAGTTGTGAAGTAATCCGGGTTTTTTTGGCGGTGGAGAGGCAGGGCTGACAGGCACAGGTTCCCAGGATGAAAGATAAGATCCATCTTGCGAAGTCAATGAAGGTGAAGGACCACAGAAAAATCCATCAAAACCATTCAATACCAGGTTATATCAAGATGTTTTGGTTTCCGCCCATTGTGTGCAAGTTCCGCCCCATTGTCCATTCTGAGCTAGTTGTCAGGAAAGGGTGCTATCGTGGAATTTCATATTTGTAAATATGTATGTATATATATATATATGTATACATACTTCTTATTGTTTTATATTGATGTATTGTTGTATATGTTGATGTTTCTTGATAGTTGCAATGGATATGTATGGCATCATGCCCACTTGTAAGCATAGCAATCATACATCAACGGTGCTGATATAAAGAGATGGATGTTAACGGGTTTGTCCAATCAGAAACTTTTCATCCCAAACGTTGGGATTTGAACATCCAAAACGGGAGATACAGTCGGAATTCAATGGAATTCAGTCGGAATCTATCAAGAATATGACAGCTATGACAGTTTCACCAAGCTGTCTCACTTAAAGCTTGGTTGGTACACCAATTTATTGCCCAAAAATCCACCATTTTAGGGCTTTAACTGGGCTCCACACTTTGCCACGGGAACGGCTTTGTGCCGCCAGGAGCAGGTCGATCTCGCCGAGGCAGTGCATGTCGAGGACGTCGACGTGGTGCCGCAGCTGAAAGCTGCTTGGCCCAAAAAGTCCAGCGAGGCTCGGGGGGTGGGGATGCGACCATCTCTGCCTGGGAGCATTGTGGGTGTTTAATACGTTTAATAACAAGGGCAAGGGACTCATTTTTTATTCACATGATTTATATATATTTATATCATGTTGATATATTACGAGTAAAACATTAAATGTAGAATTAATAGTTGAAAGTTGGACGAGATTAGCTCAGAGGGGGTGGGAACAATCAATCCATTAATGCTGAATTATACCAGGTACCGTCTCCGTGAATCTGAGCATGGCACATATATTGGGTCAAAGTTGCAAGGCTTTCCCAGGCATTTCATGTGGATATGTGGAGGTTCTGGAAAAGCCACCAGGTTCCTGTCAATCCTTCATTGATCCCCTGCATGAACGATGGTTTTGAGTTACCCTGTGAAGTCATAGTGGTCATAATTGTTGCCAGTGGCAAAACAGTACAACGAATGTGGTAAACCCAATAGTACATCCGTATTAAATCCGATAGTAAAGCATCTGAGTGTGTTGTTTGTCCCCTTTTTCTCTAGCTTTTAGTCAGGGAAATAAGAATATCTGACTGAGAACACCTCCAAGAACAACTTTATATATTATAATATGTATGGATATAAGAATTTATTATTCATCTTTTTATTTATATTATTCCTTGGGACCCATTGACAGGGCGAACACCTTCCCAACAAAACACTAACCCAAGAAGCGAAATAACATCAGCAACATCATACTGTAGTCGAGATTAGTTGAGAATATGTGCGATATTTAGATGATGTCAAAACACCTCCCTCAAGTACAGAAGCTAAAGTCAACTAATTTCCTCCAAGTCCCTCCAAACATGAAGTCTCACCAAAATTGGATAAAATTGGGGTCTAGTCTAAAGCCTAGCAAGTTGGTTTATAATCCCATTAACTATAGATATATTTACCATGAACCATACGCAGTTCTTTGCACCAACTTAGCATCGGCTTTTTCCAGGCGTGGCCCTTGCGCGGAAGGACCTCCTTGGTCTCGACACAGCTCCTAAGGCCTCTGCCGGTTACGGCCAGGCGAGTTCCCACCGATGTGGCTTCGGGGTTAAGGAGCATAGTACAGTGCATTTAGACATGGGATTTGCAATTGCAATTTTAAACTCGTATAATTTTGAATGATTTGGGGGGTACCCCCATGGCAGGAAACCTTCATATGGTATACCGTATTGGGACGGTAAACATGACACCCAGGTTTGGTTGGTTCACGGGACGGTTTATGGCATTGGGCATTGGGTTTACCACAGCCCAGTTTCATGTGGCTTTCGCTTGTAGACTTGCTGAGACATCCAAGTAGGTTGATGCTATTTGATGACCATATTTCTTTTGGACTCTACAAATCTACAAAGATCATAACCCCCGAATCAGTAAAGACTCTGAAACCATCTGATCGACTCGCAGCCCGGTCTTCATTGGTGCCAACCCGTGGGTGCTTTTTTGGGGTATACAACTTCAATAGCGCTTCATTCTGAAGGTTACCTCTCTAAATCAGCTTTGGTATGTTCATTCCTTGCAACGGATTCAGGATACAGTTAGCAAGCGAGGACAGGGAGGTCGTCAAAGTACAATTGGGACAAGGAATGCTTTTAGCATTCTGAGCATTTTCTTGATGAATTTCAAAAAATGGAATGTCCGAAAATGGGGTACGGTAGGAAAAAACCCAATTGGGCGAAACTGGGTCGCATCTATCATTCCCTGGGTCAACCGACTGGTTAGATAATCTTTTGCTATCATGGTAAAATGTACATTCACCAGCTAAAACTTAAGTCCTAGATTTTTTCACAGGTATCCAAGATTCACCATGATTCAGGCGATACTGAATGTGTCAAAGATTGAAGAACTATGATCAAAACATACCAAGACCCTGCTGCCGGAGATATTGTTGTGGGATCTCCGGGTATAGTATGTGTCAAAAGTCAAAATGTAGGGTTGGGTGATAAACAAGTTCCTCAATTGAAGGTTTATCATTGGCTTTACTACATGAAGTATTGGTTTTATCCCCATGATATTCCCATGAATATCCCTTATTCAATCACAATGTTTAATTAGTTTCTCTTGCCAAACGCGTGTTTGTTTTGTTCCATTTGATAAAGAATAATCAGGGTACATCCCGCAAAAAAAAGATGATTTATCATATATGGATCATCATTTCCCTAGTAAACGTGCCATGTTACTTGGGAGCTATACCAAAAAAACAAAAATCAGAAAAACTCTCAAATCCCAAACTTTGAAGAAAATCGACTTTTCTGGTTGGGTGTCAAAATGTGTGCACCCAAATACATGTTTTTTTTGCGGATTTCATGTTTGCTTCACGAATCCACATCAGCATCGCCAACTTCGTGAACCCCCGCTCTGACCATCTTCAGCTTTTGGAATCTCTCACAGATCTCATGACAGTTTGTGGATTCAGCAACGTTTGATGCAATCATTAACAAGGATGCCGCAAGACCCAGCATTTTGAGCCCCCAACATTTGAAAGTTGAATAACCAGACTGATAGGTCAAGTTGTTGATCCTCTGGCGCAAAAAGTGCTTGAGCTGTCCTGTGGCAAAGCAAATGCGGTTTATCGTGGATGATAGATATAGAACCGGCTACTACTTTGGTGGATGAACCACCACAGAAGAGAATGCCTATGAATATCCCCATCAAGAGCCTTTTTCTTGAACCTGGGGCGATGCTCCAATTCCGTATTCTATCAACCAAGCATGTAGGTCTCCGCAGTAGGTATACCGCTCTCCAGAGTTCAGCCACTTGAGACTCCACAAGCCAGAAACAAGTTGAGGGCATAGGACCTAAATTTCCCCCCGAGGTTGGCGATACAGATAGTAATTGGAAAGCTGATAAGTTGACCAAAACGCAGAAAATTCTGAAAGTACCCCGAACAAACACTTGGCAAACATACATAAACATACTACAGTTGTTGGACATCCACTATAAGTTTTTCGTTTCTTTTACGGATAACATCGGCAACATGTCCATTTTTATTGGGATAACACGCATACCTTCAACAGACGTCGCTGTGCCTCCATGGACCGAAGCAAACGCTTGCGAGAGGCGATCAGCGGATGTTCTAAGGAGAGAATCAACGATGATGCAACGATTCATACGGATATATCAAATACATATATATATATAATATACGTATATTATATATTATATATATATAGTTTATAGTTACATATAATTATATATATATACTATATAATTACATATAACTATATATATACTATATAATTACATATAATTATATATAGGGAAAGTTACAGGATATCGTTGACATGCGCAATGAACAATTGGAGATTTAACCATCAAACAACCATCAAACATGCTATTTGTTCAGTGATTTGGGGCAGAAAATACAAAACATAAAGAGGATATCATGGGAACAAGCAAGAATATCGTCTGGATAGATTATGATGACCTCCGAGGAGTGGCAAGCTGTACTTGGAATCGCAAGGACATTGGACTTCGAGACACCCGGGAGAACTCAGCTGCTGGCGTCACGAGGCACCAGATCCTGTTTCCATCGAGGAGATTGGTGGCCGCACAACATGGGTCTGTCTGAAAATGGGGTATACCCCCAATGAAATCGCCATTTAGTAGGGATAATGATCATTAACCATTGGGTGTAGGGGTACACTATTTTCAGACAAACCCACATGCTGGCTCGCAGCGAGTCCCGAGCTGTTGATGATGTATGCAGTGTTTTGCCACAGAGCAGTTCCACTGGAGTTCTCTTTGCGCGGTATGCCAAGCTTTGGCATGAATCCAGCCGAGCCAATTGAAAGGATTGGTATGCCCGGATGCCCTGGAATTTGCCGAAGAGATTTGATTGTTTTGTTCCTGGTTTCTGTATATTTCTGATTATTTCTGTATGTTGCTCCAGTAAAAGATGAAAACAATAACGCAGATTCATATTCCTTTCACAACTTACACAAGCACACAATCAGTACAGCAGCTGAAAACCGTCATTTCCTCTAAACAAACAACGACAAAAACACGATAAAGCGAGAGCACATGATAGACAGACTTTTACCTGCGAGACACTTTTTCACAAGTCCAAATTCGGGTTTGTTACGGTTTTCTCCAAATCGTTAAACACAAATGCAAGAATGTTCATCAACAACCCAATTGTTCATGTGACATTTCATGTGCCCCTCACATTTCAGTTGGTCCAAACCATTACTGTAATTTCTCTTGGTTCCATCAACATTTGTTGGCTGTTACCTCCATCGATTGGACATTCATTGGCCAAAACTTTGACGATATTTGACGCCATCAACATAACTATATGCATACTATATGCCATATATCTACCAGTTTTTTTCGACCCCCTTGAGGTGGTTGAGTGACCCTTTTTGGGCTAAAGTGACCTCGAACTGGTGGTTGAAAAGGCATGAAAAGGTCACTTTGAAGAACCTTGGTCTTAAAATTTGACCCATTCCCATATTTACACGGTGCGGAATAATGGGTAGAGTACTGTAAGGGGTAACACTCTCCCAATTTATCATACATCATCTTATAGTATCTTATAGTAGATGTATCCAAAAAAACGATGTATCCTATTATATCCATACAAAGTTGTATATCATAAACTATCCAGATGATTTGTAGAAATTAAGGGTGGTCAAAATTCTCTCCACGCGGCTCGGCAGCCGTGTGAGGCCTTGCCAGAGGTGACGAAAGCCAGCAGCGAAAAGGCGTGGTAAAGAGAAACCTTGGAAAAAACAATGGGTTTAACCTGGAAGAAACCGAGGAAACCATCCCTGGCATCCCGATTTTTTTTGGTGAAAAAAACCAGGATATTTGTGCGCGGAAAAAAACACCATGAAAACCATGATGAAGAATGGTGAAGAATTGCTATTTCACCCACGAATTTTGCACCATGTTTAACCGATGAGCACTGTTGAATCATGCATTCGGAGTCTGTCTGAAATGGCTTAGTATGCCATAGTATACCCCCCAAGACCAAATTTACCAATAACAAGGATGAATGATGAACCACTGGAAATGAGGTACCCAGTTTTTAGATTCTTAGATACAACATGATAGAACCATATTGCCCATACTTCGGAGTACATTGTACCCTAGGTGCATACCTGAAATGACACTTAAAAGATCAGAGTCCCAGGTTTGTTTTGTGCCGCGCTGATGGTTTGTATTACCCGATGATGCGTTTGGATCTAGAACGCGCTCACCAAAGACGCCAGAAGCGCATAGCAAAAACATATTTAAAAAACATGATCACATATCTATATATTACTTCAACTGTAAATATACGTGTATATATATATACATTAATTATATAAAGCGATGATTATTGTATACTTACATTAATAATGTTATATAATCTTATTTACATAGATCATATAATTATATAATATATTATATATATGTACAGAACTACAAAAAAAACATGTCGCATGACTGCTGTTGGATCATCACCACTCCGGTCGCAGGTCTTTCACGATGAATCCGGAAGCATCTGGACGAATCTTCGTCGAGGCTTGAACGATCTCAAGCGCCTCGACAGTGGCAGCACGGTACCGGGGAGCTGTTTTTTATCCCAGGCCGTTGGTGGTGAAGGATTTTTTAACCAAAAAATGCTGAAGAATCTATAGAGTCAAGTTTTCTAAATCTATGGTCAACAAAAGATCTAGTGAAATTTGGACTTCTGCAATGCTGGAGAATGGGGAAATTGAAGCGAATCAACAGTGATTTGGCCTAGCATCAAAAAATATATGGGTTTAACTAACGGTTGAACCAGGAAAAGGAGGGATTTCACCTCTCCGCGACACATGCAGAGTTGATCAACAATTATTGGTATATAACCATCTAATAGGGACGTAGAATGGGTATATAACATAGCAAATGATGATCTGAGATTTTTTTAGAAGAGGTAATAATGGGAATTTAACATAATTTCACTTTACTGTATCCAAAAACCCATTTGACTACTCCGTACGTATATATATATATTATAGATAGAAATAGATGAGTTTGAACCACCACTATATTGTAGTGTATATTAATATATAACAATGTGAATATAGTCACCAAATCTGAGGATTTAGTCACCAAAGAACATCAATTTGAACACGATAGAACAATTTTGATTCAGATGAAGCGGCAAAACTCGGTTTCAGAGTTGGTTGGAAAATGGCAATTTTTGATCAGCACGGTGAAAACCAGAAACGCATAGAAACGCTGGATGCTGACCGCTAGATGGGACCCCTTAGATCGGTGAGGAGGGAATAAACCAACTCAGCTGAGAATGAAGCGGCGAAAGTCTCGACAAGTCATGATTTGGATGTTGGAAATTGCAAATGTTGGGGTTCCATGCAACAAGCATGGAGGGCAAACCTTATATATGCTTATATGATGTTAATTGATGTTATATGTATTCAGTATACCCTCTGGGGAATCCAACATGACAATGGAAACCCTGCCGCTTTCAAGTAAAAACGGTCATGTCCCCTTGCCAGATTGGATTGCCAAACAAAGTAATATATGTAGGACAATGATTTGGCTGGGTATTGGGTTATACACTGAGAACATGTATATAACTGTGTATATATATAATATGTACATATACATTCATGTTGTTGTTTTCACAAATGATATGTACATAGGTATGTCATATATATATATATATATACATATTCAAAACATGCATGCATGCATGCATGCATCCATCCATCCATACATACATAATCATACATAAATACATAAATACATACATACATACATACCTACATACCTACATACCTACATACCTACATACCTACATACCTACATACCTACATACCTACATACCTACATACCTACATACCTACATACCTACATACCTACATACCTACATACCTACATACCTACATAGCTACATACCTACATAGCTACATAGCTACATACCTACATAGATAAGTACTTAGTTTACGTATATTAGAATAAATACATGCAATATATATATATAATACAGATCCGTATTTTGTTTCCCCCTGCCGGCCTACACCCAGGAAGGACCCCCAGCGTTTGGACACAATGGAGCTGTTGGGGGCTCCCAGCCTCGCTGTTTGGGTTTGTTCAAGGTGATTTTTCAAATGGGAAATCCACCATTTGGGAATTTATAGGGCACATTTTAATACATACATATATATACCTAGAGACTCGAGCGGCATCAAAATTTTGATGCTGGTCTAGCAAAACAGTGTTTCATCTGATTGCCGCTGAAATTTCTGGCATGCGCCGTTCTTTGGGAAACAAATATGGTTTTAGATTTTGGTGTTGGAATGCGCCGTTTTTGCCAATGATTGCACCGTTTTTGCCCGTGATTGCGCCGTCCTTGCCCGTGCAGAATTTCCATTGCGCCGTTTTTGTGGAATTGCGCCATGTTTTCTACATCGCGCCATTCTTGTGGACTTGCGCCTGATTTTTTTGTAGGTTGGGAATGCGCCCGAAATTTTGGATACATGAGTCTCTAGGTATATATATATATGTATATGAGTAACCGACAAAATTAGCGGAAGACTAAAGTAGTGGGGAGTGGACTTTGGATGTTCAAATTTGTGCGAAAACATTCAGGGACCACCTACTTACCGATACCCATAGCATGGAAGTACAAACCTTCACAACCGATAGGGGACCACCTACTTTGGCCAATGTCCATTGCGGGTAGTAAGTAATTTTGTCCGCCACTATATAACTATATTATACTTGTTGGGGACACCTTAAGCAAATCCAAGCTGACTCTACAGTGTTACAGAGATTTTGAAACTGCTAAAGTCTGATTCATCCAAAATCTCACTTGGTTGGTGGTTTGGAACTTTTTTTTTAGTTTTCCCATCATCTTGGGAATGTCATCATCCCAAGTGACGTTCACTCCATCATTTTCCAGAGGGGTCGGTTGAAACCACCAACCAGTTGCATCCCCAGGCCCTACGATAGCACCATCCACGACGTTTGGGACGGGCCAGCGCCAAAACGGTGCTGAATTTTGGGCAAAGTCACAAGACTTGTACTGCTAGCCACTTGAGGAAAATCGGGATGAATACCCAGTGAATTTTGGAGTACCTGATTTTCAGACAAAACCACTCCTGGCAATTCGGGTTGCACTGTCGTAAACCAATTGAATTCCAATCAAGTCCCCATCAGACCGTTGCAGGTAGTACCTCAGGTAGTTAGCCTAAGGAAATCCCATGGTTTCCCCAAAAAAGGAAATCCAATGTGGTTTCCCGAATGCGGATGCTAGTGAAATTATCGTTGGGACCAGCTGCATATGGGGATGAGTCAAAACCTACTGTGGATGGAAGAAATCCTGCAGCAGTTGGTAACTAATGGTAACTAATGGTAACTAATGGTAACTATGAAACACTGTAAACAATAGGATTATAATTATGGGATGAATCATCTACCAACTGGTGCAGGATTTCGCAACCATCCACAGTATTATTACCATATTATAGTATTACCATATTTGAGGGGAAAATTCGCATCCATTAGTCAGCAATTTTTAGGGTACCATCCGGGGGGGTTTTGACGAACATAGCCATATGTGAATGAGAATACACCTCAATAAGCAGAGTAACAGTGATAGGTTTGGCTCAGAAGCTCGGGTTTGTTGGATGCATTATTTTTGGATGAGATTCTGCACATTGTCCCAGAATATCCCACGAAATCCCATGTTTTTAGAAGCCAATTTAGTGGATTCTATAGTGCATTCTATTGCTGAATTGAATCGCAATCTTGATCAATCATAATGATCAATCATTGGATTCAAAAGAAACCTAGACTGCGTCATGCGGTTTTGGCAGCCAAGTGCCACTATTTATTTGGGAGGAAACTCCTTATTGACCAGCCAGCGTCAACGATTGTCCTCTGGTAAATGGCCAGGCTTCCGAGTTCGCATTCTGTGAACAATTACCCGAGGGTATACATATATAATATTCGGTATATTATCATCCCCATTTTTCTCAGTTAAATCCCATTAATTTCCACCAAAGTCTCATTGAATTCAGCTAAATCCCTACAGAATCATACAGTATCATCGATCTTGGAATCTTAATCCCCACAATGTGGGTCGCCCCCAGTCATGTCCGGTGGTTTATAAACCCCTATGAGTACGAATATATATATATATATATATTTGCGTATTATAAACTGTAGTCATTGGAGCTATGTTCACCAACTTAGCTATGATAAATCAGCTGCAAATCCCATCAAATCCCCATGTTCCTATGGTTTAGATCGCCCAGCCGGGGGCAGCACAAATCCCATCCGGGTCCTCCGGGTTTCTTAAGGGAATTCTGGGCGCCCCTCCCTGGCCCCTTCCACAGGAATTTATGCTGGACTTGATGGTGAAGCACCCCAAGTACTCGCGGCAAATCCTGGACCTCTGGGCTGGGATTTCATATGGGGTGCTGGGAAGCTATTTGGATTCTAAAAAAAAAATACAAACTATTTGGAGCTTCCCATATGTTTTTGTTTGGTATATATGGTTTTGAACTTTTGATATCTTTCTTGGGGTGCTGGGCGTTGGGGTTCTCATACCTATCAAGAAAACTGTTTCCCCCAACCAGATTTCTATCATCTGGACTGTTTCCCTTGATGGTTTTGTATTTGCTGCTGATGTGGTAAACCCAATGCCATAAACCATCCCTACGTTTGAGGTTCATGAAATTGGGTATGCCCATATTTTAGCTGTGATGTTTCTTTATAAACTGACCCTCATGGTTGCTAAATGGGGATGGTTGATTATCTCTCTATATATTCGTAGTATACAGTATCCATTATACCCCATGGTATTCCATTGTTTAACTGTAACACCATTTCCAGTGCACTTGCAGGGGGAAAAACAAATAGATCAGATTTTGTTGAGTATACATATGTATATATATATATATGTATAGATGTATCCCATTGATTATCATAAGATATGAACACATTATTAATTATCATTAATCATCCTAATTACATCATTTATCATAGAAATTACATACACGTTATATATGTATATTTATTAGATGTACATTATATCCCATGATACATTACTTTCTGGCTTACCCCAGTTATAAGTTACAAAATAATTATATATATATATAAGTTATAAGATGTTATAAGTTACAAACTGTATTTCCAATATATATAGTTATATCATTCATATATATATATATATGGTTGGTGGTTTGGAACATTTTTATTTTCCATAATATATGGGTTGTCATCCTTCCCATTGACTAGTATTTTTCAGAGGGGTTGAAACCACCAACCAGTATATATATATATGGCAGTGTGTCAAAACCTTGTACCCCTGGTGAACATCAAAATAGCTGGTAAATGGATGTTCATCTTACTAAAAATGGTATCTATAGGTATTGACCCATACCCATATATGTATATATATATATATATCTGATGAATTACCATGAGGTATGACCACATTACCACATTGACCTCTGTAAAAAAAACGGCCCACAGGATGCCGCTGAGATGCTCTTGGGCTCGGAACGCTGGGTGCGCGGCCGAAAAACATGGGGTTTGGGAAAAGGGATGAATTGAAGCTGGCAAAATGCTGATTTTATACGGTTCAAAATGGCGGTTTTATAGGATTTAACATATTTTTTTTGTCTTTAGTATTGTTTTAGAGGATCTTTATATGTTTTTTTTGAAGAATGGCAACAGTGGGTCTAATAATTTCTGTATGTTTCTATATAGAAGCTGCCCCAATGGGGGATTTCAAGGTAATTCATCAACAGAAATGAGGATAATAATATTAATGGAGTCGTTCAATGATTGGGGCGAACCAACAAAAACAACATGCTTAACACATCATTCAAGACCATGATCATTTTTGGGTGCCTTAGTAGACAGACCAAGATACAAAGGTCCTATTTGGAAGCTTTGACCAGCAACTGGGATGAGTTTGATTGATAAGCAATTAACGGACGCTGCAAAACTGCGGTGTTCACCGGTTTCAATGTTTGGAAATACTACCCGCTGGTAATTTAGCCCTGTGCTATGAACATAAATCCCGTTTTTGATAGGGATTCATGATGAAACATGATCAAACTCAAGGGGCTTCCAGGCTCAAACAATAGCTTAAACTCTGCACAATCACCAAACGTGGGGATGGCTGAAAACCCTGGCTCCTATAGGGATGCAGGGTACTGACGGGCAGCTGTGCAGGCTGTGCACCCTTCACTTGAAGGTGGTAACATGTAGCTGTGATTTCTTGATTGACGTAACTACTACATACATATGTATATATATATATGTATATGTGTATATATATATATATATATGTATATGTATATATATATATGTATATATGTATATATGTATATATGTATATATGTATATATGTATATATGTATATATGTATATATGTATATATGTATAAATGTATATATATATATATATGTATGTATATATATATATATGTATATATGTATATATATGTATATATGTATATATATATATATATATGTATATATGTATATATGTATATGTATATATATGTATATATGTATATATGTATATATGTATATATGTATATATGTATATATGTAATATATGTATATATGTATATGTGTATATATGTATATAATATGTTTATATAATTTATATACATACAATTCTTAGTGAACCACTTGTGTTTGAAGAGCGGTTGAATGTCAGAAGCTTCACCCAACTCTCCTGGCCGTAAACTGCTTTGGTACCTGGGTCCATTAGTTCACCTTTTGCATGCTGCGTAGCTTTCTTCTCGAGTTGTAGATTACCATGCCCTGTAAGGTAAAAGTAGCGCTGATCTTCGTTTTGCTTGCATGTTCATTTGCTACCAAATTTGGTAGCGGGGCGTATCATGCTCCAGGGCCGGTACTTCAGTCGCCTGATGTTCGGCACAGGGACGTCAGACGACTGAGGTGCCAAGGCTTGTTGATGCTCCGATGGTTGGGTGGATCTCCAGATTCTTGGATCACACATCAGCTGCGAGCATTGCATCACTTTTTCGAATTTGACATCTTGAGCCCAATCAGTTTCTTGCAATCGTGTAGTCAGTCATTCTTGGGCAGTGAGCGTGCTCCAACTTCAAGCGATCTTGAGGGCGAGTCGAGCACCCATTGCTTTTGGAATTGCGATTTTGATACAACAGCGGTGGCCCACTTTTGCATCAACAGTACAGCGACAAGCGCGGCGAATTTTTTGCAGAGTGAGAGCCCTCTGCAGCAGGGGTTGCTGCAAGGCACAGGAACGACAGTAGACAGCTTGAGCAATTCTTTTACAACAGTTTTTTCTTGCACAGCTTCTTGCGACGTTTGTTCGGATCCGGGAACAGTGCAACAGGCGGTTTTCAATCAGCAGTCTTGCAGCGGTCGTTCACAGTGCAGCAACGAATCTCACAGCAACAGTTTTTTCGGTGGACTCTGCAATGAGCGGGAATTTGATCAAGGTCCGACACATGACAGTCCCTCTAAGCAATGCGAATTCAAAATTGAACCAACAGAAAATGAGATGACGTTTGGCAGCAGGTGTTTTGCAAGCCAACACAGTGGAACCTCCGACAATCTTGAACCATTTACAGGTTTGGACAAGCCGGGGGCTGGACCTCGTGCGATGACATTGGGGGCTGGACCTCAGAAGCGTGCTTGTTCTTCAGACCAGTCCATTGGTGTTCCAAACGGCTTGACATCACTTGTGGGCATGAGCGAGACGGGGGCTGTACCTCGTGCAACGACATTGGGGGCCTCACCTCATAGCCTCGCCGTTTTTGGAGATGACGAATTTTGTTGGAGTGATCAGATGTTGGATGACTACGAGAAGCTGTTCATGCCGCCAGTCGGCGCAGGTGGACAGGCCAAAGAGCCTGAATTCATGGTGCCTCAGGTTGACGCCATTTTGGCAGACGATGTCCCTGGGGCAGACAGCTCAACGGCAGATTTCGTAGTTCAGTCAATTTCTCAAGGCAGTTCAGAAGGGGAGTCATGTAGCCCCGATCAGGTAGAGCCAAAACCCCGGTCCCAGAGCAATCACCATGACATGTTTCCCAAAGATCATGTTGAAACTAGTTTGGTTGAACCCATGACGTACCCAATTTCAATCGATGGTGTTCCAATCTCAGGCAACGGTGTTCTCGTCCCAATCCATGATGAATCACATGATGTGTGGCATGAGCATATTGACAATATCACATGTGATAACCATGACATAGACATGTACGGTCACTCACAATGCACACATGACCACACACGCGCACGCACCAATCAGCCAGCCTTGACCTTGAGTAGCAGGAAGACCCAGGTTCCTGTCCAATCAGTCCTGAAAGTTTTGGTGTGTCTCATGTTGGTCGGTTTGCCAGTCTTGTCAAGTGTCTGTCTTGCCACAACAGCTGTTGCTGATGAAGTCTCCGAAGGCCATGACATTGTAGCGAATGTCACCAAATATTCATCAGCCAGCCACCATCCGAGATCTCTTGTGCATAGATTGAGTGCTATCACAGCGATGCATCCGATTGCCCAAGTGTTTGTACTTTCCATCCCGATCTTGATGTTTGTCTGTCACATGTTTCCAGGTGCCGGTGGTAATGCGTTCAGAACACCTCCAGCATGGGGCCCAGAGCAGGAGTCAACGTACCCGTTTCGTCAGTGGTCACGAGACGTTTTATTATGGTCAATCGCTTCGGATATGGAGCCGGCTAGAAAAGCTGCGGCCGTGATGTTAACTCTCCGTGGAGCTGCGCGCGAACTAAGCCGACAGATTCCACCCCAGGCAGTTGTTGCGGGGGGTCTTATAAACGGGGTGCAAGTTGACCCGTTAACCTATGTCATGCACGCACTGCAGGAAAGATTCGGAAACTTAGGAGAAGAAATTCGTGTGCAGTCATCACCGAACTCATGAGTTTCCACAGAAAAGGGAATGAACCAGTAGACTCACTTCTTGTTCGATTTGATAGCATTCGATCAAGAGCTGCAGAACAGGGCGGTGCCGTGGTCGGTGTACAGGGTGTTGCATGGATCTTGTTGAGAGCCATTGGAATTACAGATCAACAACTAATCCAGCTGCTTGCACCTTTCAACGGGTTGTTTCCTGCAAATGAGGCAGAGTTGAACCAACTGAAGACCAGCTTGAGACGCATGGGGCATATCCTTGAAAGAACCCCTGGAAATCTGCGTGAAGGACTGAGATCATCTACCAATAATCCATCCAGTGCCTTCCTGGCCAACGCAGATCCTTGGAATGAGCAGCCGAGCCATGACCAATGGAACAGATATGACGACCATGCATCTCATGAATGGGCTGGACAATCAGCCTTCAATGCATCCGCATCATCACAGCCATCACAGCCATCACAGCCATCCCATGAAGCCGCTTATGCAATGTTCGAGGATGAGGACATCGACACAGACTCAAACACAAGCTCAGGCGAGTGCAGCTCAGTGAATGCCGACGGTCAAGACCCCAATCGTGTTGCACAGACCTTGTTTTGGGCATATAGGCAGGCCAAACATAAGTGGAGAAAATACATGGGTAAATCCACTAGGGCTGTGAGACGCTATGCAAGAAGATTCAATAAGTATCGGGGAAAAGGCAAGGGAAAGAAAGGCAACCCAACCTTCACTGTAGGCAAAGGCAAAGGAAAGAAGGGCAAACATCCTGTGACAGCCATGCTTGCAGAGATGGATGATGGTGAGGTGCAGTTGGCATTGCCCGCGTTCAGAGGCCATCGGTCGCCAGGAAAGGGTAAAGGCAGAAGGTCTAACCCCAAGGGTCCAGATGGTCAGACCATGCGCTGCTTTGAATGCGGCAGCACAGAACATCTTGCCGGAGCATGCCCCAGACGTGCCCCCTCGTCAGGATCGAATCAAGCCACAACCTTCTTCACACGTGCAACCGATGCCAATATGTCAGTCTTGGGTCCATTGTCAGGTATCATAGATGAAACGGATGTTTTTCATATGACCAGTGCCGATAATGTGACTTTTGCAACTCATGCTGATAACCCCGAATCAGAGCCAAACACATACCATGCATTTATGATGTCATCAGGTGAAACGGATCCTTTGGAACAGAATGACCCATGGAGCAGTGCAACAACCCATTCATGGTCCGTTCCAACATCCGCACCCCGCAGTTTTGGTCCCATAACCACTGCAGGTCGTCCCACAACGCAAGCCTCATGGTTTCCCTTTGGTGCATCGGACGCAGATCAACGACATCAGAGCCAGCCATATCTCACAGCAGTGATCAGTCTCGTGTTGTGCCACCATCAACACCTCGCACTGAAAGACCTTTGAATCCAGGATATGTGCCACCTGAACCGAGGCCATTTCCAGTGAATGCTCCTGGTAACCCATCCCAGCCTGTGGATGAACCACCCGCTGAAGCGACAGCTGGTCGCAATCAGCCGAGTATGCAGTGGGCATCAATGTCACAGATGCCAGCGGAACTAAGGGATTTGCTGCCGTTCCCTGTGTTGGCACCGCCTACAGTGCCAGCCTTTGCAGATCGACCGGAGT